TACAAATCAAAGTAAGATCATTAAGTCTGCAAAACTCTTTTGTTACTTTGGCTCCAAAAAGAAAACCAGCTCCTCTAGAATTTACTGCCCAATATTCTACTTCTTCAGGATCAGACCACATTAGATCACAAAATGGTCCTTCATGAGGAATTTCAATCTATAATGGGAGAAATTATAATAATTAAAAAATACCTTTCTATCTATTGTTCTTATCTAATCAATTGTTCTCATGTCTGGGGATAAACCACCATGAACACATAATATTTAACCTTCAATTAGGGCTCCTAATGGCAAGCAGTCAAAGACCTCCATAAATAATCTCCATGGGCTGCTATTTCCATATTTACGAAGTAATTCTTCATAAAAACCATAAACTTGAGTGCATTAACGGGATTCATGATTTCCTCTGAGTAACATAATGTTTCCAGGATATTTAACTGAAAATTATCAAAAAGATTACCTTTTAAACATAATAGGTATTCCATTGTTTCAACTGAATTATAGCCTCTATCAACAAAATCTCCAATAAAGATATAATTTGATGAAGGAATGTCTCCTCCTTCTTTCATTAAAGCTTATAAATCATAGAATTATCCTATTTATTTAAGTCATCCTTACCATGAATGTCCCCACAAACATTTACTGGAGCCCTAACTGGTTATATATTAGATTCTTCAAGAAAAATCTCCTTTGCTCTATCACAAATCAATTTGAGATCTCTTTCTGGTAAACATCCTCCATTTAAAAGTGTTGCAATATGCCTATCAATGTCCATTTTTCCAAAATTTATAATTAAAATAATACTTCACATACTAGTTCCTAATTAGTTAAATAATTAAAATTAAAGATTAGAATCCTATCAAATCTTATATAATTTTTTATAACAAAGTTTTGTGATTTTCTCATATAATTATTTACTTAATAAATAATATTCATTAATCTAAACATATATTGCTTAACATTTTATAAATTATTTATAGATAATGAATTCTAAAAATATAAAAACTTTGCATAAATTATTTTTCAATCTTTTAGGTATTAATAATTTATATTTATTTCTATAAAGAAAATGGAAGAGAATAGAGATCTTAAAATAATTGTTGTGGGAAATTCAAGTGTTGGTAAAACAAGCTTGATTGTTAAATATAAAACTAATCAATTCTCTCCATAAACTTCTGGTACAATGGGAGTAGATATGTCGATTGATAAGAATGTGAAAATTAATAATAACTTATATGATGTTGCTATTTGGGACACAGCTGGTCAAGAGAGATTCTAATCAATAGTGAAAATATCATCCTAAGTATTTTTAGGCTCAATCATCAATAGAACGCTCATGCTTCTTTGATATGTTTTGATTTGAGTGATCCTTTGTCATTAGATAGTGTAGCATCTTGGATTTAATTTTTAAAATCTGAAGGACCTTAAAATCTACAAATTATAATAGTTGGTACTAAAAAAGATCTCCATGTTCAATATACATAAGAATAATTAAAATCAATATCTACTGCATGGAAAGCAAATTTTCAAGATGAATTTCCAATTCATTTAACATCCTCAAAAACTGGGGAAGGAATTTAAGATGCTTTTAGATAAGCTTTTGAATTAGGAGCCAAAGCAAAATACGATTTAAATATCTAATAATAATAATAATAAGAATAAAAAAAGAGTTTTAAAATAAGTACCTCCTAGTTGGTAAGAAGTTAATAGCCGCATTCACATTAAAAAACAGAAGCAATAATTTCAAATACAACGACTCTTAGAGAAAGCTAAATGAATTTTAATGATAATAAAACTACTCAGCAAGGTTGCTGCTGAATATATTTATATTATAATTAATAATGAACGAAACACTCAAATTAGTTCTAGTGGGTTAATTAGGAGCAGGGAAAACAAGTCTTTTACAATCTCATAGATAATAAGAGTTCCGAGCTCATAATGCACCAACAGTTGCTGTTGACTTTGCTGGAGTTAAAAATGTAGAAGTGAATGGGAGGTTATTTGATATTTCGATATGGGATACAGCTGGTTAAGAGAAATTTAGATCAATAACAAGGATGTCTTTATAAGTATAAAAATAACAAAAATAATAGAATACTGATGTTGCAATTCTTTGTTTTGATTTGAGTGACCCTGATTCATATAGACATCTTTAAGGTTGGATAGACTTTTTATAGGTAAATTGTAGATCTGAAATGGGAATTATAATAGTTGGAACTAAAATGGACTTACCTACTTTTTATAATTAGGAAGATCTATAAAAATTTCTCTAAACTTTAAATTCATAATAATAGTAGTTAAAATTATTTCTTACTTCTGCCAAGACTCATGAGGGAATTGAAGAAACATTCAAATATGCTTATGAATAAGGAGCAAAAATAAAAATGAAAGCTTTACAAATGGATAAGTCAATTTTACTTGTTCCACCTGAATAATCAAATAATAAGAAACGTTAACCATCTAAAAATAAATATTTACAGGGTTGTTATTGTTGTTGATATTGGGGCATTGATTGAATATATTTATTAGCTAATAGGAAATTGGTTTCAGATTTGATATTTCCTTTTATATAAAAAAACACATACCGTTTCTTCTGGGTTCTCATATAATTATAATGATTTAAGTCGTATTTTGTATTTATTAATAATTATAAATGACTGATCGAAAAGCTTGGAATTAAAAAGTAACAGCATATAAAATTAAATCTTAAGGAAGATGCAGCTATATTACAATTAGTAAAACAGTATGGAATCAAGAAATGGACAATAGTAGCTGAGAAAATGAAAGAAATCTATGGTTTATTTGGTCGTTCAGGAAAATAATGTAGAGAACGCTACCATAATCACCTTGACCCTACTATCAATAAAGAGCCATGGAGTGAAAATGAAGAGAGAGTCATATTCATAGCCCACAAAGAACATGGTAATAAATGGGTAGAATACTGAAACTATTTATAGGCTGAAATTGCGAAACTGTTACCAGGGAGAACTGATAATGCAATTAAAAATCATTTTTATTCAACCCTAAGAAGAAGTTTAAGAAGAATCAATAAATTAATAGGAGATAAGAACAGTAAATCATATAAAACTATATATAGTAAAGAAAAGGGTACTTAACAGATAAAAGATATAAAACCTGGAGTATTATCAAAGATTTTCATTTTGGCAGAGAAAAGTCCATCAGAATTAAAAGATGATCATATGAAAAAGCTTTGTTAAGCTTGTAAAGGACTACAAGACTCTATATTAGAATTTGCATAATCTAAACAAAAATCTTAAATCAATTAATTTAATGAAGACAAGTTCAAATAATTGATTGATAAAATTATGGACTTTAAGTATATTATAATATAAATAGTAGTGCTCTTTACACTAAATAAAGAGAAAGTAGATTGAAATTAAAAAAGAAGAATCACAAAAAGAGAAAGAGTAGGATTGATGATGATGACGATGATGATTATACAAGTGATTATAAATATGAAGAGATAAGTCATAAGTTTCCCTTAAAAAGGTCTTCAAGATTAAATGCTAAAAAGAAAGTGGTATGAAATATATATTATCAAATAGCATATTGACAAAGAAGATTATATAGATATATGCATAAGAACCAAAAAGGGACCATTGTATAAAATATTAAGAGATTAATTAGAAATATAATAAGTTGATTAAGAAGTAACATATATTAAATGAAATTAGGAATAATCTTCAAATTACTAATAGTAATATGCTTATGAATTCTAAGGAACTAATAGTCCTAATAATCATTAATTTACACCAGCCTTTCATGTTTTAACTCCTAGACAAATATTCTTTTAAAAACCTACAAACCAATATTAAGATGATGGAATCCATAATAATGATGAAGCTCAATTAAGTAAATCTAATTTTGTTCCTATTGTGATAACTAAACAATATACTTAATATAAGGATAAGACACTTGATAACTTAGCTTAATAATTATAATAAAAGATTAGTAATTACTTAAAATATGATTTTAGATGCAAATGCTGATAAATATATTTTTAATCATCAATAAGATTCTGATTTAGAAATTAATATTGGTGATGCTTTCGAAATCCCTAAGGACTATAAATCACCATCAAGTAAATTTGGTATCGGTGGATATAGTCCTAGTGCATTTAGAAAGTATAAAAAAAATTAAGAATCAGGGCTAGTTAACTTCATGATAACACCTCATCATTATAAATGAAATAAATTATCATATTTTCAAAACATTATTAATTTCTTTTAATTTTATAGATTAATAATATATAAGAATGGAGGATTAGGACTAAATGTTATTAAAGAGCTTATAACTATAAGGAATATAGATATAAACACAATCTCTTCCTTAAGTAATACTTACTATTATTGATAGTTAACATGTGAAGATTTGATATCTATTTTCTTATAATTTTTTCAATTGAGTGGAACTTAAGCTTTTGAAATTAGCTCAATTAAATCAATCAAGAGTTCATTTAGAAGAGTAGGTAAAATTCAAGAGATGCTTTATCCAATTGGTATTAGAATTGATATTCAATCAATTGTAAATCCTAACCCATAAGAATCAAGAAAGATTATAGTAAGTTTGCTTTCGAAATTGAGTTAATCAAATAAAAAAGAAACTGGAGCTAAACATCTTACATTTGAAGAGAGATTATAAGAAGAGAAAGCTAATTATAGGACAAATCAAATATAGAATTTCTTTCAAGAATGGGTTAATCCATCATTATGTGCTTTTCCAGAAGTTGAACAAAGATTTCTTAGATTGCATGTGCTCAATATTATAAAGAAAGAACCATTAATTAAATAAGTAGCCAATAAAGGAGTAAGAAAATATTTATATCACTCAATTGTTAGAGTTATGGATCATCATTTATAAAAGAAAGAAGTTGATTAACCATTATAAGAGAGATTATAATTAATAAAGAAAATGAGGAGATCTGATGATCCTGAAGCTGTTTTAGGTTAATTTAAGGGGTAGTTCTAAGCTGAAGCTGAAAAGAATGATTGGGAAGATATTTAGAAAGGAAATCGTTAATTAAAGAGAGCTATTAAATAATTAAAAGAAGAAGATAAGGAAGAAGAATAAGCAAGAAAATAAAAAGAAGATGAAAATTAAGGTTTATTTAATTTAGAAATATAATTCTAAGAAGAGGTAAAAGAGATCTAATAAGAAATATAAGATACTTAAGAAGCAAAATCAGAGATTAGTGCATTACTTGAAGATATCTAGACTAAATTGATAGAGCAATAAAAAAATTATGATAAATTATAAAAAAAGAGATAAAAATTGGAAGATATAAATTAGAAATAATAAGATATTTATTCATAATTGTAATCTGATAATAAGGATAAATAATAAGAATTAGAAAGTGCTCATTCTATATTATAATAAATTGAATCAAAAAAAGGTAATGATCCAGAAATACAATAACTTGAATAAGAAATTGAAAATATTAGAATTGAATGGGAAAAAGAGAAAATTTTATAATAAAATGATGCTGATGAATTGGCTTAACAAGTTTAGGATCGTAAATTAAAACTTGAATAGATTTAAGATAAAATGAGAAGATTGTAAGAAGAGAATTAAATGATCAGAAATTAGGGAAGAGTTAATTTGGAATATAAAGAGAAATTATTAGTTGATCTTTAAAATTAACCTAAAGAAATTGCTAGAAATCAATATATTAAAAAAATTGTGGATTTGAAAAATCAATTAGAAAAATAGAAAACAGAATATTTAAAATAAGCTAAAGAATTATCTTAATTAGAAGATTCATTATAATTTTAAGATAATATGATTAATAGATATTGTATTGAAATTGAGAATCTTATTAATTAAGATCCTAAGAAATCTGAAACAGTTGTTAAATAGATATAAAAATAATATTAAGATTATAAAATTGTTTATAAATAAAGTGCTGAATTAATGCGTAATATTGGAGAAAAGAGAATTTAAATATATGATACAGAATTAAAAATGGAAGATATTTTACTTAAAGGATACAAAAAGAATGTTGAAAAACTTAGATAAGATTTAACTGATATTTAAGCAGAAAATAAAAATCTTGAAAAATAGAAAAGATGATTATTTATTAATGAATTTTAGAGCATTATTAAATTTAATATTAAATGACTGAAAAATATTGGTAAAGATATAAAGAAACTCATGATAAGGATCCTCTTAATACAAATGAATTATGGGTTAGAGTTAAGTAAGATTTAAAAAGAAGAGAAAAGCCAAAGCATCATCTTGAATTATATTCATATTGTAGAACTGAGAATCCTTACATAAAATAAATTAAAAGTTCTCCAAATATCACTATGGATACAGTTGCAGAACTAATCTGCAGATAATCAGCATGTGAATTGTAATATTGTATGAGTCTACAAAAATTGGCAGTGGAAAATAGCAGATCTAAAATAGAGTAACAGTAAAATGCAATCAAATAGTTTATAGGGATGTAGAGATCAATATAAAACAATGACCACTTGCATAATGAATGAGAAGAATAGAATAAAATAAAAAGAAGAAGAATTAAGAAATCTTGTATTAGGTTTACAATAACCAGAAATTTAATAAGAACCATAAAAATAGACTATTCTTAAAGAAGAACCTGTTATGTGATTATTGATTGGTAAATTTATTATAATATAATCAATTCTTTAATTATGAATGTAATATAGACAATCTTTGAATATTACATTTATAAAATCAAAATTCCAAGTAGATAAACAATAAAGAATCTATAATTAAATTTATAAATAACAAGATGAATACTTCTATTTAAGATAAATCTAATAGTTATTAATCAAAGTTTTTATTCCGCAATTAAATTTTAATAAAAATTACTCAAATATCCTAAAATTCTTAATCAAAAACTTTCTTTGTTTTATTCATAAAAATATAAAGATTCTAATCAAATTTATAGAATCAATTAATGATAGAAAACCTAATTATATGAATAAATTATTATAAATGTTGTCATATCATTTTTTCGTTTTATGCTTATTTTCTTTCCTTCTCTCTTTTCCATAAGTTCTTACTTATCTTAAATAATTCTTTTCATTGGTCCTTCTACAAAGTTTTATAATTATTATATGGACATCTTTAAAATATAAATAATATATACTTTATCTAAAGTGGAATGCTCATTTATATAACTTTCAAAACCTTTAAAGTATAATTCAAATCAATCATTTGAGAGTTTATCTCTTAATACTTAATAGGATTACTGATTATTTAGACTACCTATATTATCTCTTTCAAAAAAATACCTCTTGACAATAGATATGCAAATTTCTACTCCCTAGTCTAATTATAAGTAATTAAACCATTCCTAATATGATTGGTTACTAAATTATTTTAGAGAAATACTTCAACTTTTATCTTTATCTAATTATTCAAATCTTGTTTTGTATTAATTGGCAATAACTATCTTCAGCTTAATTAATGTAGTCTTAAATCAATTGATCATTTTTGAATAAGGCTTTAGAATTGAAAATCTCTTAAGTTCATTCTCTTAGCATTATTAAAAGTTTAAGTTTAAGCATATTTTAATAAAAAATCCTGAAGTTGATAATTATTATCCAGCAAAGTATATAATTCTTCATTTGAGATTGATCTAAAAAAATGGATTCAACATAATATTCGATTTCACTATATCCAGGTGGTTTCATATTTACAATTTTCCATGATGTTCTTATTTCTGTTTATAAAATCATAATAAGTTCGATTTTTTCAAGTTTTTAAGATTTATTTAAATCAAATACTTAATTTATGTACTTAACTTTAGAAGGAAATCGATATCAGAAAATATAATCTAATTCAAAATGAATCAATTACTAAAACTACTTGACTTTCATAAATATCTATTAAACCATCAATATTATGATTATTCTTTAGGTTCTCAAACATTTCACCACAATGTTAGTTAAGAATGTCATAATAAACATGAAAAAATTCACCCAAAATGTAACAAACTTGTTTTTGGATAATTTTTTTCTACATAATTGAGAACCTTTTATATTTCAGGCAAGAGAAGTTATCTTAAAAATTGTAATAATCCTTAATTTGGATTAGCTGGTTGATTAAAGTAATTACCCATTTTATTTATTAATTAATACAGTCTATGAGAAATCCAATTATTTTAATATTATTTTAAATAGATAAAATAATATTAAAATAAAATGTTCATTATCTCATCATTATATTAAATACATGTATTTATAATAATAGGTACATCTATTTATAATTAATTAATTATAATGCAGTTATTGAATTTTGATCAACTTGTTTATCCAATTATGATGTAAATTAGAGCACTTAGAGATGTTAAAAAATAAGATTCAATGATATAGTCAATCCTTGTAAGAATTCAATTAAAATAGGAATGCCAAAATAAAGTAGAATGCTTAGTTTTGTGCTTAATGAAATTTGCATTAGATTATGTTATAGATGGTCCAAATAAAGTTTAAATTTAGTATCATTATGAAAGAAATACAATTAAAGAGGAACTCATTTGTAAATTATATCGTTTGCAAGAATTTCTTAGTAAATAAGAATTTGCTAAGCTTAAAAGATAAATTAATGATGAAATTTAAAATCCAGAAGGATTTAGTGAGACTTCTAGTGATAATGAATAAGAAAGTTTTTAAATTAAATTGGTATAATATCTATTAATAAGACAGGTCATCTTAAAGAATTTAGCCCTGAAATTCAAAAATTGAATGCTATTATCCATGATTTGAAATCACAATTATCATCATTTGAAGCCAAAGAAACTAGAAGAAGAAATTCTATTGATTAATTAACTACAGCACATTTTAAAGAAGTTTAAGCGTTGAAATAATAAATTAGAATTTAAAGTTAAGAGGAAGAACTTAACGAATATATAGAAGTTGTTTATTTTGATAGAACTTCTACTTTAGAACCAGAGATATGTGAAATGATGAATGAAAAAATTAGGAATATTAAATAATAATATGAAAAATATGTATAATAATTCATGTAGAGAAAGAAATCATAATAAATTGAATAACCTATTTAAGTAAAACAAAAGGATGATGTTAATAAATCTGTTGAAAATTTAACTGAAAAAGAATTAATTAAATTACTTTTAAATAAATAATCTAATCCCTATATAATTTGGAAGTTAATTGAAGAATAAAGATCCTGTCGATTTCTACTTTGTGTTTTGACCAATCAAGAAAAACAATATGGAATTTCTTATAAGGAAATAAATGAAATATTAAGATGTAATAAATAGGATCTAAGAAAACTACAAGAAATAAAAAATTAAATGTAGGAATCATAAACTTTATTAAGTGCTTAATTTTCAATTTAAATATAATAGTATAAAAGATAATTAATGAATCTTAATTCATAAATCTAAGAATAATCTGCCTATTATTCATAATAGTTAAGAATTTTAACAGATAAAAATTCAAATTAAAATACAATTTAATTTCAAACATAAATAGAGATTTTAAATAAAAAAATATTATTATTACTAAATGAAAATATTAATAATAAATTAGAAATAGATAAATTATTGATTACAAATAAATCACAATAGTAATAAATATAATTTATATATGATAATACTAAGTTATTATTTTAGATTATTGATTCAAAAGCATAATTATATTCTTAATTAGATAAATTTGATTGGTCCAAAGATTAATCTAAAATACTTTCAACAATTTAATAATCTATTACAAATATAGATCCATTTCTATGTGTTCTATTTTAAACATAATTATCACTTCTACTTTTTCAACATTAAGCTTAGAAAATTACATTAAATGTAGATATTACTCCATATTCAAAATTTACTCAAACAGATGAATAAGATTAAATATCTTATATAATATCAAATTAAACAATTTCAAATAAAGATAATTTAATTAATAAAGTTAATTAATATACTTAAACAAATTAATTCATCTAATATTCAACCAGAAAAATAAATAAAACTGAAAATCTTTTAGATTCTAATAATATATAGATTAATTAAATGAAATTTAAATAGAAATTTGAAAATGATGTTTTTGATAGATTATTTGAAAATCCTTAAAAAATGAATCAAAAAATGCAATAATTAAGACCATTCATAGAAAAAATGAATGAAAAAGAATTTTCTGACATTTTGTAGATCTTTAATTCTTTATAATATGATCATTCAAATGAAAAATTCTAATTAGATTTATCATCACCTAATAATCAAATTATAGAATTACCACAATAGAAACCTCCATAATTTGAAATGACTTAAAGATCATTAAAATTTATGAATACTCTAAAATAGAATAAATTTAATATTCAAAAGAAACCTAGCAGATCTGTTGATTAAAATTTAGTGTATTAATAAGCTAATTAGTATATATTTAATTTATATTTTAGACTTTTTACAGATTTAGATAAATAAAGAGCATAAGCCTAATTCTAATTTTAATAAAGCCGTACAGGATCATTGAATAGAAGAATTTCTCGATTAATCCCTACTTCTTTAGATGAAAAATTAAAGTAAAAAAGATTGTTATCCATAAACTGATTCAAATATTCACAAACTCTTTAAGAATTCAATAATATCTGCTCTTTCTTAAGGATTAGCAATCTTTGTTTATGCCATTTTTGTATCTCTAAAAAAAGCTTTTGGATCTTTAAGAAATAGAAACATGTTCTTTTCTGTCCAAATTTCGTTACAATTTCTCATTGATTTAGAATAATGAAACATAGTTGATCCTATTCTTTTTCCCATAATCTTTCTTAATTCATGAATTTAATTGATACTTTAATGTTGGTGCAGCTAATTCTTATTTATCATCTTCAAAATTGTGGCAAGCACTACACTTGAATTCAAACATCTGTTATCCTTTTATTGCATTACCATTAGGAATCTAAATTTATTCATTAACATCAAATCTGGACTAAGACATTAAAATTGTAATAAAAAATATTAAAAAATGAATATATAAATTTAAATTTCATTTCTTAAAGATGATGATCATCAAAAGTTTTTAAATATTATATTAGATATAGTTGTTAATTTACATAAATAAAATTATAGTAGACATATACTCTATGAATTAATTATCATAAAAGAAACAAAAATATTAATTCAGTTGTTATATTATAAAAAATTTTAACAAAAGAAATAAATGATTTCTGGCATGTTTTAATAATTTTTATAGATATTTTGATTCATAATGTAGATTTACAATCATATTTTTCTTATTTATAAATGATTAGTAAATGTTTCAGTGAAATAGATTACTATTAATTTAATCTTTATAATCTCTATCATTTTAATATATTGATAGACTTATTTAATAAATATATATATATTATAAGGATCAATTAATAGGAGATCTACACATAGGACAAATTCGCTTTTGAGTGATCCAATTATCTATACATTCTTTATGATAAAAGTGATCACATGAAAGTACTATATATTTATCAGTAATTTTCTCTAAACAAATTATACAATCTAATTCAGTTTCCTAACAGGTTTTCTCTTGTAATTAGATAGATACGTTTTATATTGGTTAATGCTATAGTATTATTTGATTATTTCTTCTTAAAATGGTAAATAAAAATAATAAACAACATTTAAATACACCTAGAAAGGGAAGCAATAGTAATTAAACTCTTCTAGCAAAATATAAGACAATTTCAAAAATGATTATATTCGAATAAGAATTAAGGGATGCTTATAAATATCTATAAACTTCATAAGGTGTAGATATAAAGAGAACGATTTCAAATCTAAATAAGATATTGTTTGATACACTAAATTAGAAATTTTAACTATCAAAAAATTCGTGTGATAGATAATAATGCTATTATTTAAATGTTCAGGATCATATGATTAGAGATTATTAAATGGTGCATCCCAATCATAACCAAAATTTTAAACTTACTTTTTATGATTATAAATTATATATGAGTAATAATGAGTTAAGGCTATTCCCTAATTTATTAAATAAAAGTATATTTACCTAGATAAAAACTATTAATGAACTCTAATAAAATTTGTATAAAGTAGTATCTTTTTGAATAAAGCAAATAGTTATAGAATATACAATAATTTCAATATATTTAATAAGTAAATCGATTTTAATATTTCTTTTGAGTTCTCTTAAATTTTGTAGGATAATTTATTATTAATTCATAAAATAAAAATTAATGATCAATTAACTAAATAAAGAATTAGAAAGAGTGGATGATTTAAAGAGTGTGGATATTTGTCAAGAGTTCGAGTTTTAAACTTTACATAAAGAAATTTTGGGAAGAGGTACTTATGGGTATAAAATGTGTATGATATAATAGCAAAGTATACAAAATGAAGAATAAATTTGATAATAAAAATTATGCAGTTAAATGTATCAAAAAATAAAATGAAAAAGAAGGAGTAAATTTTTTATATTGATTATCTAAAGTTTCCAATTACTTCTTTAAGAGAAATTAAATTTCTTACAACCTTGGATTAAGAAAATGTAATAAAAATAAAATAAATTTACACAAGAGTTAAGAAAAACAAAAATAACATAAAGACTATAAAAACATATTGTGCTATGGATTTAATGGCAAATGATTTTTGGAAATTATTAATGAAAAATGAATAATAAAGATTTTATTTTACTACAAATCAAATTCGTAGCATTCTTTATTAATGTTTTAAGGGTCTATAATACATTCATTCATAAAATATTATACATAGGGATATTAAAAGTGCAAATATATTGGTAAATGAAGAAGGAATAGTTAAAATAGCAGATTTTGGTTTAGCAAAGTTTTGTCCAAAAATAGAAGGAGTTAAGAAAACTCCCACAGTTGTCACATTAGGTTATAGAGCACCTGAAGTTTTATTAACAAGAGGATAGTATTCTTTTTAATTAGATGTTTGGAGTATGGGATGCTTTGCTGTTGAATTAAATTTCAATAGACCATTATTTAAAGCTAAAGATGAGGCTTAATAGATTTAATAAATATTTGAAAAATGTGGAACACCTACAATTGAAACTTGGCCAGAGATTATGAAATCAGATTACTTTATTAAATTAAATCCTTAAAAATATGATAGAAAGTTTATATCTTCAATTAGAAATATGAATATGGCATTTGATGATGAATTGTTAGATTTGCTTGATAAGATATTTGTCTTGAATCCAAATGTACGATTAACAGTTGAATAAGTACTTTTACATCCATTTTTTACTAATCATAATTTAGAATTATGTTTTGAACAATTCAAAGAATATATAATGAAAAGAAATTTCGCTTAAGAAAAAGTCATAACACGTGCTTATAAACCTGTATAAGAAAATATACAGTTTATTATATGATAAATTTATATTGGTATTATATATCAAGGATGAAATCAATACTTTCTACTCCAAGGTTTATCATCTGGTATTTCTGATTTTGGTGCAAATTGATTAGCTTTTGCTTATGGATTCTATTCAAAGTATTTCTTAGCTTCTTCATATATTTGATAATCTTCTGAATATTTTTACATATCTAATGATTTAAATGATTTAATTACTCTCTGAAAATTAATTTAAATCTTATTCATATTAATCCTATTAACTTTACAAATTTTCAGAATCCATAAACATAGGTGGTTATTATTTCATAAATACTCTTTATTCAATAAATTCTTCATCTTCATATTCTAATGGGAAATTCAATTCAGCTATTTTCTACAAAGCTTCTTCTTCATTTCCTCTTTATTATTTTAATAATCTTTCATCAGTGTCTATAACAATCTAATTGAATAAGATTGATTATCATACTTATCTAAAATTCTTTGATGTCTCTTCACCATGTACTTAAGCTAATTCTAATAATTCTTATTTATATTCTCTCAAAATCTATAATTCTTAAGGAGTAATATCTCTTAAATATTTAGCTGGAGATCCTGCCCATACTTCTCCTTGTTTGATTTCTGTGCCCTCTTGAACAAGAGAACCTGCTGCAACAATTCCTTATACTATTGCACCTTCTTTAATAGTTGATCCCATTCCAATAAATGCATCATCACCTATTATACATCCTTGTAAATTAGAATTTGGCCCAACAAAAGAGTTGTTACCAACTGTTATTGTTTTGGTTGCTTTTATGTATACATTATCTTAAATTAATGAATTCTTTCCCACTGTTATTGAATTATTATCTGCTCTTAATGTTGCTCCATACCATATTGATGAGCTATCAAATCAATTTCTTAATCTTACTTTTATTTTAAAATAACATTTCCAATCAATACTGAATTTGGGGCTGTAAATATAGCATCTCCAATTTAAGGAGTATGTCCTTTGGCTTCCACTTATCTCAAACATTATACTAAACGATCATCACTTGCTTCACTTCCCAACATATCATTTCCTTAAGATAATAAACTCTTTCCTAATCTCCTATAATATGGGCCAACTGTATTAACAACAAAGGAATCAAATATTTGGAGAATCTTAACTTTGAACATAATTATTATGTAATTTTAATCAATTTTAACTTAGAAAAGAGAGGAATTTCGAGTTTCCATAAGAAAACAAGAGATAGAAGCTATATTTAAAAATAGAAGATTAATGTTAGTTGAATAATCTTCATTGACTTTATCTCTCACTTAAATCATTTATCAAATCCAATAAAATTTACTTACATAAGATTAATCATAATTACTTAATCTCCTCAAATAATTATACACAAAAATATTAGTAGAAAAAGCAATATCTATATCATTAAATGAATTCAATTTCATTTTTTAATTTATTGAGAATTATACTCAATATTCATATGATGTCTTAGAAACTATTTTATTGATAATTTATGGTTTAACATTTTCAAGTACTATTGAAGAATTTGAAACCTTTCTATAGACATCTTAATTATTAATTTAACTTAATGGTTTGTTTTATAATTGTTCAGAATTTTCATTGGATTTTGTAGATTTACTATTACTTATACTAGAAAATATAGCTAGAAAATCAAATGCATGTTTAAATAATTTAATATAAAACAATTTTTTAATTGTAGTGAAATGGATGCTTGAAACTATTGAGATATAAAATAACGAAAAATGTGTAATTAGTCTTTTAGGATTCTTATCTGTCTTTGTTGAATAAAATTTTAATAAAGAATACAAAGATTTATAAATAATATTGTTAAATATTAATAAACTATGTAAAATCTTTTTGAAGATCAACTACTTCTCTATTGAATAATTGTTGAATGATTCTGATAATTTAGAAAAATATGAAATTAAAATAAATTTAATTACAAAATTACTTAATGTAGTCAAATATTATACAGATAAATTACAATAATAAGCAAATATTTATGAATACAAATATGTATGGAGAGTTATTTTATTAATCAATTTTTCTGATTGTTAATTAATAATATTTTAAAAAATTACTGCATACATTTTATCAACATAAACTTAAAGTAATGAATTTTCAATAAAATATATTGTCAAAGAAAACTAATAAATACTTGAATAACTTCTTAATTCTTTAAATAAATAATAAAAACCTTCAGGAGATGTTGAAAAATTCAGAATGCATAATGCCAACACTTTTAGAAATATCTATTAGCATTTAGATTAAACAAGTCTTAAGTTTTATGAATAAAATTTAACTGATTTAATTGAAATTGAATGTAATTATTAACTCTATAAATTAGAATCATGTAAAGTACTATCCATTTTGCTTGAATGTCTATATATTTTACTCTAAAAATTTCCAGATTTAAAATACCTATCATTAATTGAAATAAAATTGAAATTTTGTTATGAAAATTCATGTTGGTAAAGTCTTAAATATTTGTTGCTTTGTAAATTTATAAATTTTAAATTATAGCTATAGCTTTGATAAATGAATAAGATTAAATGAAATCACTAAAGGAATCTAAGATTGGTTATTATATTGAACTCTTAAGTTAAAGTGGAAGCAAATAGATTCAAGTTTTAGCTTGTAAATTATTAGAACAAATTTGATTTAATATAATCTCTATAAGATTAAATAAAAACAAATGAAATAGTTAATTCAAATTTATTTATTTTTTTTCATTTACATCATGATATTAAGATATATAAATAAGTATAATATAGTATGACAAGGTTTATACTTCTTATCAAAGAATATGCTTATTATTATTGTATAAATAAAAATTAAATAATTAAATGCTTCCAAAAATTTAAGGATAAGCAGTTGGAAGAAAAGAAAATTTGGCTTCATAACAGATAGTAGAAGATCATCTAAAAAACATACTGAAAAAACAAGAAAACTAAGTATGACAATTATTGAATTATATACAGAATTACAAAGCATGGAAAACCCCATATGCCCCAAAGAATCCTCATTCACCATTTGGAGATTTTCCAAAGGAATATTTGCCTAAAGAAAAGGCTAATTAATAAAAAGTTATTGAACCTGTTCATGAGACTTCCTAGAATGCTTTAATTACAAGTATACAGTTGTTTGAGATTAAATAGATAAATATTAAGGGACTCATTAAGGAACAGGAGGAAGAACTAGTTCATAATTATAGAAGAAAGAAGAATATAGACCTGCACCACCGAAAGCAGGAGCATTCGATTAAAGAACAATATCAGTTTCAGATTTCAGGAGATATTATGATCGAGGAGATTTACCTATTAAAGTTCTAAATTAAAAAATATCAATAGGTTGATCATTAAGGAAGTGTAAATAGAATTATATGGAAAATATCTCCAGAACAATTAGATTATCATCATTATTTGCCAATATTTTTTGATGGATTAAGAGTATTTCATAAATTTAAAAAATAAGGAAAAAATGGATCCTTATAGATTCTTGGCTATATTAGGAACATATGGATTACTAGAAAATGGAGGTAATAAAATATTACCAGTTATTCCATAATTGATTATTCCAATCAAAAGTAATTTAAAATTTTAGAATAATAGCAAATTTGAATACAAGAGATCCAAGTATTATAGAAGTACAATTAAAAGTATTACAAAAATTAGTGTTGAGTGGAGAAATGGTTGGAGAGGCATTAGGTAAATTAGTTATCTTAAATTATTAGTACCTTATTATAGACAATTATTGCCAATAATGAATTTATATAAAAATAGAAATTCAAATTTAGGTGATTTTATCGAGTACAACCAAAGAAAACGAGTTAATATTGGTGACTTGATTTAAGAAACATTAGAATTATTTGAATAAACAGGAGGAGAAGTAAGAATTTTAAATTAATAATTTAATAGGATGCTTATATAAATATTAAATACATGATTCCAACTTATGAGAGTTGCATTTTAAATTGATAAAGAATAATAATATATATATATATATTAATAATTAAACATATAATATTTCTAATATTATTTAGTCAATATTTATTATTTTATATAAGATACATTAATATAACTAAATAAATATATTTTTATATTTAGATTAAAATTGTATTAGAAATTTATATAGACTCATATAAATGAGAATAATGAATATAAATAAGATAATTCAATTTTTAATATCAAATAAAACAAAATTTATTTATTATCAAATTTCATTTATTTTCCAAAGTGTATGATTGTCATTTGGTTTACCACAATCTATTTATTATAATGAGACTTTTAATTAGCCTTCAAGATTACACTAATTTACATTAGTTTGTAAATAGTACCCAGTGTTTTAGTGTTTAATTTCTAACCAGGTTATAATTTTTAAATTTATTTACTTATATTATCACTTATTTTCTCTATACTCCAATTATCACCTTCATCACTTCCTCCAACATCGATCTATCCATTACTACTTCTTTATTAAGCTTTTAAATAACATTTTGTTAAAGGATGATATAACTAACAGTTAAATCAATATTAAAATACTTTAACTACATTTTCATTAATGTTTTCAAAAACCCAAGTATCATATTCATTATGACATTCCTAGCAACACAAAACTTCATTCATTCGGGAATTTTGATGCCGTATCCTATGAGAATGGAGATATCTCTCAGAACTTACATTAATCAATTAAAATGTGTTATTATTAATACAGCTTTCCATCAGGTTTTAATTGGATGTACACTAAGTAAACCGACTAATTTTATGACTACTTTCACTAATGTTTGGTGTTTCTGTCTCTTTTCCTAATTCTTCTTTGATGATCAATCTACTTACACTAGGCACTAAGAGTGATTGTTATCGGTTGAATAAATATTTGTCAATTAGATTTTCTTTAATGCAAATACCATTTCTTGGTTCATAATAGATAGATGATTAATCAAAACAATTTGCATTTTATTCTTTCTAACACAAATTCCCCATAAAATTTTAATTTAATTAGTAGAATTCATTCAAGACTAAAAGAATTTGAATCAAAATCTATATAAATTAATTCAAATAATTAACAACTAACTAAAAATAACAAGGTTAATTTTTCATGAATTTTTAAGAAGTTCATTCATTTTTTAAATGAAAAAATATAGATTATTTTGTTAACTAATATGATTCAATAATTTAATATTTACTGATGGATATAAATCATTATCTTTTTTATAGAATCAAATAAAATACAACCTATTTTATAGATTTAAATTAAATCAAAAAGAGTAACTTAAAAAAAAAGTAATTTTAAATATTAGATATTTATTTCATCAATAACTTGTAATGTGATAAAATATAATACATTTTCAATTATAATTTCATAAAAAAAATTGTTATTTAATATCATATAGACCTTCACTAATTGAATTTAATTACTATTTTAAAGATTTATATTGAGGATCTATAGATAATAACTCCTTATAAGATTTTAATAGGATTAACATATCATTATCTTGTTTTTTCATCTATAAATAGAAAATTAAATACATGGTTCTAAATTTCATCCAAATTTTCTTGTATATTTTTGGTTTGTTTTGCTATATGATTATTTTAATTTTCAAGAAAGTTAAACCTATCATTAAGAATGAGATCTAATTATTATGGGAATGTCGAAAAGTATTTTTCTATTGATTATTGTTAAATTTCACTCTTTTAAACTTTCTCAATTAATTCTTCCTAAAGTGGTATTACTACTTAAGCTATTCTATTGACTACTAATTCTAAATCTTTTAGCTTATTTTCAAATTCATTAAATGTCTTAAAATAAATAAACATTTTTTCAAAGTCTTGTTATTTAACTTATATTTCTCTTAAAACTGACTACAATTAAGTAAAAAATAAATCCAAAACTTCATATGTAACAAAGGAAGAAGGGTTTAAAGATTATAATTTAACAACCATATCCTTATTTAGTTATGATTATCCAATAGGTGTGTCAATTCTTAAACTTTTGCTTCTCGGTTAATTCATTGCAGAAATTTTAATAATAAAATATTATCTATATATATTTAATTAGAATATTAAATCTATATGATAATTATATTCTTGTTTTGTATAAATATTTTTTCTTGAAATACAAGCTACTTAATTGATAAGACTCTAAAAATCATATTTATTTAAATAATAAACTTAGTATTTTAATTAAATTTATATTTTCATATTAATCTGTAATTTTTAAGTAGGTCCTTTTCTTTAAAATAACTATAATTCAATATAAAGATATGAATTTCTAATGAAAAAAGAATCTTTTTAATAATGGATACAAATTTCTTAATTCTTAACACCAATCAGTTAATTAGTTCTTTTATATTAGATTTAGAATATAAAATATTAAATTTTCAATGGGTACTACATGTTCCTCTGAAAAATTTAAAATTTCCCCAACTGCATCTACTTGTGAACTCTTAAGCTGTGATCACCCTCTCATTTTAGTGGCTCATCAATGCATTTAAAACATTGATTTAATAGGAGAATTAGAAGCTGCACCAATTGTTGTTCAACAATATAGCAAGAAACTTAAAGATTCTAGTTAAGTACTTAAACCTGCATTGGAAAGATTAGAGAATGAAGAACAGAATTTTCTTAAGATCTGGAATCTGATTGTTTCAATATTAAAAAATGTTTCTTCTCTAATAAAGGCAGCTTTGTAAGACCCTTTATTTATTGAATATCTTCCTATTATCTCCTATAACCTTAAAGAATAGTAAAATGATTTAGAGATGCTAATAAACCAGAAGAGAGGTCAATAGTAGATTAAGAGAGCTTAATCTCATATTATATAGAGCAGAGTTATTAGAATTAACAAGAGACATTAAACCGATAAGATTTGAATATTTACATAATCAATATATCCTCAATATTCATTTTTATGATTGATTTTAGAGTTGTTTAATTTATTTTGGTTGATAAAATCTCAAAGCACCAGAATTAATTGAATATCTTAAAAATGTTGGTGGTGGTCCGTCCTTTGAAATTTATCCAATATAAGATTAACAATTCATGCACTAGAGAGCTGAGTACCTCTTTATTGTAATAAAATTACAAATTTTTCTTTAATATCAATAATTTTCACACTATTTTTGTGATGCTAAAAGAATGATGCATAACCTGTTTATGCTTAATATTTGGTATCGCTTTAAAATAAAGAATTTTTGCAATGAAAACACTAATAAACACCTTATTGATCATGCTTACATATATGGAAAAAAAAATACATTCCAAAATTCTCCTGTAAAAGGTCTTTCCATTCCTTTTGCAACAGCTATCCAATAATGATGAGGATCCATAGATAATCTATCTAATCTAATTTCTAACTTTTTTTAAGGTTTGATAAGGTTTTTATTAATAGCTTCAAAAATTTTATTGAATTAAAACTTAATTTTCATTGTTTTTAATTTAACACATAAAAAATAATTTAATTGGAAAATAGAATTCTAAAAATGATTCTAGTTTATAAAATATGAAAAAAACAATTAAAAATTAGCATAATATTTTAATAATGAAAAGATAAAACATAAATGTTCTTATATTTTTAATAAATTATTGATTAATTATCATAAAATTTAATATATATGTATAATTAAAATATTAATGTAGAAACAAAAATACAAAGTTTCAAAAAGTTCCAAACATCTTTATCAAATTTGGTAAACACAGAATAAAATTTTCTGCAATGGTAAATTACTTACAGTGTATTTTCAACTTACTAATCACCTATAGATCTGAAAATCATAAATTATTAGCTAGTGTTAGTTTTATAACAATTCCTTCATTTCTATTTTATATATTTATGTCTCCTGTAAATAATATTAAAATATTAGGAATTTGCAAAAAGTGGATAAAATGGTTATACAATTGTATTTGTGTTGATCTAAATAACAATATATGTTTTTCTTTGGTTTGCAGTTTGTTTGGATCCTGGAATCATACCAAATATAGTAATAGTTTTAGTAATAAAAGAGACCAGAATATGAAATGAATGAGGAACTTTTGGATGTGCCATAGAAATATTCAAAAATAGATTACAGATTTATAATGGATTTAAAAATGTTTATAATAAAAGCTCATTAATTTAAATTAAAGTATTGTTCAACTTGTATGTGATTAATATTTAATTAGGTGCTATCTATCGACCTGTTCGAGCCTCTCATTGTCCATCTTGTGATAATTGTGTTGTTAGATTTGATCATCATTGTTCTTGGATTGGATAATGTATAGGAAGAAGGAACTACATTTATTTTTATTTTTTTCTCATGTCAGTATCCTTTAAACTAATTTTTGTGTTTGGAGTATGCTTGTCTTATATTGTTGATGAATCTAAAAAAAGATCAGTAAGTATGGAAACATCAGATGCTATCTCAGAAACCTTAGCTAACAATCCTATAAGTATAATACTTGTAATTTATTCGTTTGGAGTATTACTTAAATTTTATTTTTATAGTTTTCTTGTTTTGTTATAGGTTTATGGGGATTTCATACATATTTGGTTCTCACTAATATGACAACAAATGAATATTTGAAGAAACATTGGATAGTACAAAGTAATAATCCATTTAAAAGGTACTTTATAAATTTATTATTAGATAAAATATTTAAAAAAACATTTTTAATGTACTTACTTTTATAACTTAACTGAAATTTTTCGAATTAAAGCAATATGTCTATAAGCCTAAAGAATATATACAAGTAAATTATAAATCCTTATTTTTAAAAGAGTCCTATCCATATATAAAATCACTTAAATGAAGTAAATGATTCTTAAAAATATAGAGAAGAAGATAAAATTTAAGTTGAATATAGAGGAAATCAAATGCAATAATAAGATATATAAATTATTACAGAAATAAAACCTTGATTAATATTATTAATTCAATCATTAAAATTTTATCTCTATCAATATCTCATTTTATCCAAAATTTTTATTGATTCTTCAATTTGAGGTCAAAGTTTGCTTTTTGTCAATTAAGTTTTAAATTCTTCTTACTTATTCTGTAGTTTGGATATTATTTAATTATGTAGATATTGATTTTAATAGGATAGCTGGCATTCTAGCTAAATGATGTTAAAGAGCATTTTCAATCCAATCCAGAGTCCTTAATTTATGCAATAAAAATTCCACTTAGGTAGAATCAAGTCTTTCTGTACAAGGACCTGTTTTCATCATAGTTGATATAATAATTTAATCATCTAAAGACGTTAATGCAGTACAATAAGCTTCATTTAAATTTTCTTTCTAAAATCATAAATTAATTTTACTTTCAATTATTCCTCTACTCTTTACATTATCTTCTATTATTCTTGAATTTTGGGATCCTTTAATTAAGGTAATGGAGAAGTCTATTCCTTTGTCTACTTGCTGTCATTGGTTAGAATTGATTAATCTCGAATTCTTTATGGAGAAGCCTCTGAAGTAGATCTTTAATGATTTTCTCTTTCTTTACAATCTGCTTCACTCATCTTTCTTGAATTAAATTCAAAATTTGATTCTCCTAATTTAGATTCTGTAATTAATTCACATTTTTATCCAAAAAAAAATAAATCTTTCATTTTGGAATTTTATAATTATTCTTAGTTAGCTTCATTTAATGAATCATACATTAGTTAATCTTTTTATTATTGATTTTCTTAATGAAGTAAACAAGGAATCATCTAATCCTCATAAATCTCAACAGGTTATACTTTCTTTTTCAAGCATTGTAATTATTATTATTATTATTATTATTATTATTATTATTATTATTATTATTATTATTATTATTATTATTATTATTATTATTGTTATTATTGTTATTATTGTTATTATTGTTATTATTGTTATTAAAATTTGTTTTCAATTGTTTCATTCATCTTCTCTAATAGTAATTCAATTTTATCTATTCTACTATTAATCTTAGAAAATTCCTGCTTAGTTATCTATTCAGACTCTTCAATTTTTTTAGCAATAATTTATTCATAATAAGCCAATTACTTAGATTTAGCAGAATCATATAATTTAATCAGATCTGTTTATTATTTTTTAGGTGTGATTGAATTTATTAATTAATTTGATGTTTAAATTTCTTAACTAAGATTGACTTATCTTTTCTTAGAACTAGATCCAAAAGTATTTATTTTATTATTGGACTCCATCTATTAAATTTATTCTTAATGGGGAGATGCTAATACATTTGATTCGGTCAAAATTTAAAAAGGCGATTATCTTTTTTCGTTACTATAAAATCTTTCCCTTTTTAATTGCGGATCATATCCAAAAATTTACTATTTTTGTAAATTAATTTCTTTTGGCTTGTTCTCTACAATTTGAATGTCATGTTTTTTTTCAAAAAAACTTTTATTTGCATTTTATTTAAACAGTGATTTATGTTCTCTTTAGGATTATTATTATAAAATTTAAGACTCTTTTAATGAAGAAATAGCAATAGAAGCAGCATCCCTTACATGCTTAATTTTATCAAATCTTAATTCACTAATCTTATTAGAGTATTGTTAATTAGCTCTAAAATAATGTGGAAAAATAACACTTAATGTATACAATATATCCACTGCAATTTTACTAATCATAAAATAAATGATACCGTGAATTCCATTCAGATGATTATAGACAATTACAAATTGTATTTAAACAATCTTCCAAATTTGGCTCAAAGATTTCTTCCACACTTAAAATTATACTCAAAAGACTTTCCAATAATCCTTATTATGTTTAACAATGAGGTGATCTAAGTAAAAATAAAAATTTACTTTAATATTTCTAAAGTTCGTTAAGTGTATTATTTGCAAACAAGCTCCAATAATTGCGATTTGCTAGTTTTGATAAGTCTGGATAGAGAGGCTGCACTTATTAACTAAGCAACTTTGTTATTATGTATAAAATTAGTCTGTAGCAATTCAGTTATTTAGAAGAATAAATCATATTAATTTGGAGATGTTTGAATTGTAAATTCATTAATATTCGCAAAAGTGTCTGAGATTACTTGTAAAAAAGAGGAGTCTCCTATTTAAAATTCATTATATATTAGTACCTTCTGAAATTCTTTTATTAATTATTTGAACTACTCTTGGTATTTATTCTTAGATATCATTACCTCTTATTTCAGATAAAAGACCAAAGACTTTAATATAATCCTTCTTTGCCTATTTAGAGAGATCATTTGAATCAAGCAGATTTGTTAAAATTACGAATTAATTTTAAGACAATTAGCCAATTAATTACCTCAATTCACTAAATCCTGTCTAAGCTGTACTTTGGGAACTAAAATGGTTGTTTAGAAGAATACTGTAATTTTGCTAATGAAGCCAAGAGTATAGTTCTTAATTATGAATTAGAATCATAAGAACTTTATTGTCTTCTGGATTTATTTAAAGCGCTACTATTCATTTTAAATTTATTTATAATATAACTGCTCGACAATAAAAAAAGCTTTCATAAAATGTATTTTGTTGTAATCAATTTTACGAAGTCTTCATATCTGATTTCCAAATCTTTATCTGGATTTGCTTCTTTAATTAATTAATTAGCTTCTTCCTCAGTTAATCTTTCTCCCATAGATTTTACCATATGTCTTAATTCATTAGCATTGATTGTTCCTTTATTAGACTTATCTAATATTCTAAATGCATCCATTAATTCCTCTTCTGGATCTACATCTCTATGTTTTCTAGCCATTAAACTCAGAAACTCAGGAAAATCAACCATTCCTGTAGAATCAGGATCCACATCGTTTTTCATTTCACTTATTTCTGCCTCTGTTGGATTTTAATTCAATGATCGTATTAATAAACCCAAGTCATCTACCTATAAAAATAAATTAAACTTGATTTACTTTTATTTTATTATCACCATCTTTATCAAAGAGGGAGAAAGCTTCTTTATAATTTGCAATTTAATCTTCTGTTAATTATTGATCCATTAATTTAAATAATATAATGCTTAAATCGTGGGATTTATTTATGACAGCTGCTTTGGATTTACTTATGGAATCACCTTAAGCCAGAGCCAAAGTTAAATACTATAAAATCAAGCAATTAGCCTTACTCACAGTCACTGATGATAAAAAACATTTCATCTTCAAATCAAGAAACGTGGATGAGATTGAGCAATTTATAAAATTGACAAGCAAACTTATGTTGAATGTTGATCCTACAGAGGTGAAAGAGGAACCTTAAGAGCCAAAAACAGATAAAAAATAAGGCAAGAAAAAAGGAAAGGGAAATAAAAAATGAGTTTTATAGATCTATATTATTTTATTTTTAATTTCATTCATAATTCATTTATATACTAAGATGGAACGATAGAAATAATCTCTATAATTTAATAATCGATAATTTGTAAAATGAAAGGGGTTTTAAGATTAGAATAATTATTTATTTCATTTTATCAAATAAAATTTTCGTTGATCTAAACTTAAGTTGTGTTTTCTTATAATGAATGAAAATTTATCAATTTCTTTGAATTTTCTAATAATAACAATAATATTAAGACACACAAATATAAATTAATTTTATATTTATGTAAATAACTATTTTTATAATTATTCTATAAATAAATAATTAGTAGGAATTAAAGAATTCCAAATTTCAGAATTTATCAATTCTAGTAATATAAAGCTTTATGAAATATTCTTAAAGCCATAAATAAATTTAGTTGAATGACAGATAAACTTTAGACAATAGGTAACATAATCATAGATTTTAGGAAACAGAGAAGAATAACTTGTAAATACTGATAATAGAGCTGAATTTTCACTAGGAAAATTTACACCAATTGAACTAGCTTGGGATAAACTTATAATAAATGCCACAATAAAAGTTGGAAAGGTAATTCCTATTCATAAATTTAAGACTACCACAGAAAAATGCTTACTTAATAATCTTAAAGGAGTGATGAAACCTGCTCATTTTACCGCTATTTTAGGTCCATCAGGATCAGGAAAAACTACTTTATTAAACTTTTTGTCAGGTCGTTTAATATCTGACAATCTAAAAATATCAGGAGAACTATCTTTAAATGGTAAAAGAATTAATGACATTGATAAATTTAATGATTAGATGGCTTATGTTATGTAGGATGATATATTATTAGCCACCTTTTCACCGAGAGGTATAAAATAGTATAATTGTATTAGAGGCCTTTTATTTTTCAGCTAATATGAGATTAACTATCAGTGCAGAGGAAAAAGCTTAAAGAGTAGAAGCTTTGATCAGAGAATTGGGAATAACTAAATGTGCAGATACTAGAGTGGGAAATACATAAATTAGAGGTGTATCAGGAGGAGAAAGAAAGAGAGCCAGTATAGGTGTTGAATTATTAACAAATCCAAGTCTCATCTTTTTAGATGAACCAACTACTGGTTTAGATTCTTCTACTGCCTTATAAGTGATTGATTTATTGAAGAGATTGGCCAAAAATGGTCGTACAATAGTTAGTACTATCCATTAACCATCATCTGAAATCTTTAATAATTTTGATAGACTTATGCTATTAGTTAGAGGTAATATTATATATCAAGGGGATGCTGAATAAGCTATTGATTACTTCGCTACTATGGGATATTAATGTCCTAACTTTTCTAATCCTTCAGATTACTTTATGAAATTGATGAATGAAGAAGGACTACTAGTAGAAAAGATTTAAGCAGGAGAATCAGATGATTTTGATGATGCTTAGATAAAGGCTGAATTTGAACAAAGATTAGAAGGGTTTATTCAAAATTATAAAAATTCAAATATGATTAAAGATTTAGAAACTAGGGAAACTGCATTAATTAAAGAAAATGATGTTGGATTCCATATTGGATTTATTTAATAATTTGTACTTATTTATTAAAGATCATTTTTAAATGAAATTAGAAATCCAATGGATGTAAAATTGAAAATATTTTAATCTATTGTAAATGCCATTATGTTAATGCTAGTTTATTCAGATGTATATTAAATCATTTATATTTTTAGTTGGGTAAATATAACGAAGGATTGTAAAATAGATTTGGAGCTTTGTTTTTTATTTGTACAGCTAATGCATTTGGTGGAATTCAAGGAGCTTTACATACATTTTCAATGGAAAGACCATTATTTTTAAGAGAAAGAATAAACAAAACTTATAGTGTTCATTCATTCTTTTGGGCAAGATCACTTGCTGAATTTCCATTCCAAATAATTTATCCTTCTCTTTGTGTTATAATAGTTTATTATGTTATTGGATTAAGTGATGAAAATGTAGGAAAATTCTTTATGCTTATTTTCATTTAATTCTTAACATATTAATATGCAGTTTCATATGGATTGCTTTTATCAACCATTATTCCAAAAATTGAAGTGGCTACAGCATTAGTCCCTGCTTTGGTTATTCCATTTATGATTTTGGGAGGATTCTTTGTTAATTAAGATAATATTCCTTATATATTCTATCCTTTCACATATTTATCAATGTTTAAGTATGGATTTGAGGCAGCTGTTATTGTAATAATTTTAATTTTATTTTTAGAATGAATTTGATAATGTAAATTATGAATGTATGCCAGGTTAAAGTTGTGATCCAGTTGAGATGCTATCAATAACATTAACAAAATGGGAATGTTGCTATATATTAATTGGATTAGCTATAGGAATTAGAATGTTTGCCTATTTGGCACTTCATTTAATATCAAGTCCAGAAAAACCTAAATTATAATCACCTGAAAGCATGTAAATAAATAATAAACCCAAATGACTTTTTTTTTGTTTTTTTATATAATTATTTATTTTTAAATATGATAAAAAAAAAGTAATTAGAAAGTTTTTTACAATAAGTCCCTGATTTTGAAGGTAAGCCAAATTGGAATCTAGAATAACATATGACTCCTCCTTCTTTTGCTAGTGAAATAATATAATTGATTCTTAATGAAGAATCATTAGAAAATTTAGTATGTGCAGATTTTGGATGTGGAACTGGTATGTTAACAGCTGGATTATTGTGTTGTAATGTAGCTCATGTTTGTGCTTATGAATTTGATGAAAAAGTTGCTTAAGAGACTTTATAAACTTTATAAGAGATGCATGATGGAGCATTTGATTTGATTATTACAAATATTAAGCATCATAAATTCCCATCTCATAAAGTTGACTTAGTTTTAATGAATCCTCCATTTGGTACAAAGGAAGCAAATATTGATACAGTATTTTTGCTTTAAGCATTTGAACATTCAAGTGGAAATGTCTACTCTATACATAAATCTTCAACTAGACAATATTTGGAGAAATTAGCAATAGAAAATAAACGAACCTTTAAAGTACTTAAGGAATTTGAATTTCCTTTACCTAAAAAATTTTGTAAATATCATAAAAAAGGTTTAAAGAATATTCTATTTTAGACCTTGCATTTACATAAGTAGATTTCATAAAGTTTGGCTATGTAAAATAATAAGAAGGGAAGTAAGAAATATAGTGAAATTGAATTGTTATATATAAAAATTTTCTATTTCAATATTTTTAATTTCTATTTTCTTATTTAAAATAGATTGATTAGGTAAAATTCTTCTATAAGTAATTTATATTTTTATACTCTTTAATATACAAATAAATTGTAAATTATATTTATTATATGGTTGTTTTTATAAAGAAAAGATAAAAGATGAATAGTAATGTATTTGAAAATTAATAATTTATAATATGAATTATTCAGATATATAAAAATGAATTCAAATGATTCTTGCCTTATTTTAACATATCGTTAATAGCACTTATGATTTTACTTTAAATTACTTATCTAAAAATTCATTAGATTATTTTCTAAATATATTATAAAAGAATAGTTAGTTAATATTTTCTATGTTAAAAAAATTTATTTGTTTTTGAAATAATAAAATCAAGTTTAGATGCTAAAAAAATCTATAGATTATTTACTTTAATGCTATAAAATACTCAGATTGCTTTATTTATATAATTAAAATTTATTATGTAACCTTCAGTGACTTACTTTGAACTTTAGACTCTTATATTCTTGATCATTTTTGGAATGATCTTGATTTCATTGAAATACTTTTCAGATCCAAAACAAAAGGAATAGAAAGTAATACTTGATCAATTAATTGATAGTTAAAACTTTGGAATAGAATGATTACTAATTATGAAGGTATATAACTAAGCATAGACGAAGAATAACTTTTAAAATAAACTTTTAAGAACACTTTAAGAAATCGCAAAGTTGCAATAAGTCCATCCATACCAAGATAGATAAAAAGTACAAAAAAAGTTAGCTTTTAAAATTTGGATGACTAATTATGAAAATCTATCCTTTATCGATATTCTTAAATTAGAATATATAAACATTTATAGACATCATTGTTTTTATTATTTTTTAAATTAATAAGTCATAATAATTATATAATCAATGCTTCTTTCATACTATTTCTACCATGAGATCCTTAAAATTGTTATAAGTTAACTAATTTTATTAAATAATACTATACATAATCTTTTTAAATTAATTCCATTAGAATTTCTATAAAATATTCTTTTTCTAAAGAGAACTATGTTGCTAAACTTTCAGCAGTAATATAATTTTTTTTATTTTTCAATAATTTAAAGCTAGTAATCAATACATCTTCTTGAATTAGATTTTTACGTTTGAATGCATAAAGTATGAATTCAGCAAAAGTGATTTTATTATCTTTATCCATATCTACTTTTCTAAAAATATTAAGGCAAATAGATTTAGATTTCTCATCATCTTATACAAAATCTGTATATGATTCCATAAGTTCTGAAATACTAAAAAATCCATCATTATCAAGATCTAAAGATCTAAAAACAGAATAAATATCTCTAAGCTTATTTGGAGGATAATTATTAATGATAAACTTCAGAATATAAGCTTATAATATATTTAATTTTTTTGATTTTCTTAATGTAAGCAATGTTTCTCTTACTTATTCATCTCTCAAATAGACTTCTTATTTTAATAGCCAAGGATGCTTTGTTATATCTTTTAATTTAATTCTTTTTTTTGGATTTTTATCTAATAATTATTATAATAATGAGATAGCTTCATCAGATATCTATTATTCATATTAAATTTCAGATATTAAGATTTCTACTCTTAATTTATTTAATGATTTAGATTCATATGGAGATGTATGATAAAGTAATTAATAAAGGATAATTCCTAAAGACCAAATATCTCTTTCCTCTGTATATTCTTGATTTTCAAAATATTCTGGAGGTAAATAATGAGCTTCATCTAATGATGGTTTCTTTTTCATAAATAAATGGAACAAATCGTATAATTTTATGTATTTTTCACCAAAAAGTGCAAATGACTCAATAGTAAGATGACCATGCGTTAATTATTAATGATGGATATAGTCAATAGCTTCAACTATTTAATTAAATATGAATGCAATATCTTGTTCAGTGATGAACATTTTTGAATTTAGAATAACTATTTCTTTGCTATTCTCTTCAGCCACATGATATTTTTATTGTTCTTCATATATTTCATATAATTGAATCAGATTAGGATGATTCTAATTAATTAAATGAAGATAATTACAAGTTAATAATTGAGTAATGAAGCAACATATTTTTCATCTGTAAGCTTATATGATTTGATTATTCTAACTATTCCTGTATTATTATGTTAGATTGTAGTAAATGGAAAGTCTTCATCTTCTTTTTTCAATAAACTATAATAAGTGGAAAAGTTAGTGCTTCTATAAACAAGTGATTAATTTATATTTTGAAGACTTAAAGTTACTATGCTTTACTCATTTGCAGTTTAAGGGACATTGTTAGTATTGCATCTTGTATTTGATCTTACGACATGCTATTATGTTGTAGATCTGTTTGGAGTTGTTGACTAAGATTATTTTTATTTTGCCTCTTATAGTTTGGCTTTCATTATTTTTTTCATTTCTTATGAAGAGCAAGAACCCATATTCTTACAATAAATTTAATTTTTGAGAAAGATAAAGGAAAATATGTTATCAAACATAAATTTACTGAAATGATAGATATTTACGTAATGTATTAGAGATTATTAATTACTTAATTAATAAAAACACAAAAATAAATAAATTAATATTGAAAAGAATAATACATTTAAAGGTAAATTCCTACTAACTTTAAATCATTTATAGAATATACTAAGAATGATCAATTAACATAAAATTATTTTATTATTATACATATTTATAATAATATTAAGTAGTGAATAATCAATTTTTATTTTATTGTTTATACTATAAGAAACCTATAATTATATATTATTTAATACTTATTGCAGGTCTTACAGATAATTTTTAAACATTTGTTATTTTAATTGGTAGTTCATCCTTTACTTTTAAAAATTCAGTAAAACTTGCAGTTCTTTATTTAAAACTCTCATTAGATCTAATACTCTCAAGTATTCTGTTTGTTTATTCAGTACTTTGTTATATTGATATTGATTATTTTTAAAAAGAAGAGCCTTATTATTAAGATAAACTAGATTTTTATAATAATTATTAGATAGATCTTTAATCATATTATGATTAATTTGAATAGATAGACTTTTATTCAAAATCTTATTCAAAAGTTAAAATTTATTACTTACCTAAAAGTGAAGTAGGAGATTATACACATTCTTCTTGACTATTATTTACCTCCTGAAAAGTGATTAATTTTGTTTGACATAAGGCAATACTCTCTCTTTAACTTCCCATTATAGCAAAATCACTTATATGGTTTAGTTCATTCATTTAAACAGATTTTTTAGTTTCTATTACAAAACTAGGTTCTCTACTTAATTTTCGTAGACTTTAGAAGTTTTACATCAATTAATCATATCTATTAGATTTATTAGAAAATGCAGAAGGAGGAGGTACTTATTAAATAAGTTCCTATTATTCAACTAATTCTTAGTCATCATTACTATATCTTTTTGCAGATGAAACTTTACCTTAACTATTATCTAATTAAACATATTTAACAGTTTCTTTCATAACCTGTTATTCACTAAATAATTCTGGTTCCACTTATGTTGGTGATTTTATCAGAGATTCCAATTGAGAAGGGCCAAAAGTTGTTCTACAATCATTTCCTTAAATTATTTCTAATTATAAATTAATAGGATTTTATTCTAAACTACTTTCAAAAGAGACATTAATTTTTTTATTTTAATTAGCAGATGCTTCTATTGGTATAATTGATGATAAATTGCTTATTGTATATTGTGATTTACCATAGATATCTTCAATACTTTCATTCTGTGGCTTTTTCATTTGATTATAAAAATTATTAAAATTATTCTTGCTGTTTAAAACTGATACTTATTATTATCTTAAGGCTTCTTATTACTATTTTATGATCTCCAATTGTTACTATAAAATCTAGGACTATTATTCTAGAAATTATTATTTATTTTAAGAGTTTTCATCATAATAAAAAATTTCTGGATGTTTTATGCTCTTTTGACTAGAATAATCAAAATATGGAACTTTTATTTAAGTTTCCTTATAATCTAATAAATTTTTTATTTTTTGATTTTATTTTTAGAGCATTTCTATAGGTTTTGGATTATTAGATTGATACCTTTTAGTTACTTCTTATAAGTCTCTTAAAATGTTTTATTTTAGATTATCAACCATATCCATAATTTGAGGATCTTCAGTTTACTTAAATGCTGATTTGTTTTAACTTTTAGTTATTTGATTTTATTAAACACATCTTAAAGGACTAACAGAACCTCTTCCTCTAGTATTGATTACAATTGGACTCTTTTAAGCCATGGGAGTTTATGATCTATTTTCTTAATATAAATGTTTTTTTGATGGTAAATTTTCTTTATTGTTTTTACAAGTAGAATTATCAAAATAATTCCTAATAGATTATTATGAATTGATTTCTCTTGTTGTATGTATTATTTTCTCTTATTTATCAATTTTCTCGTATTTTTATACTTCAGCTATTCTTTTGGTTGAGGGCTATAAAGTGCTTTTTGTTCGACTAGCTTATGTAACTAATTATGTTAACTATTAAATTGCATTTATTTATGGATTTCTAACAAGCTTTACAAAATGTTGACGATCGTTGGATAACATATAAATTTTTATTAATAAATTAATGAAACTAGTCCAATAAGAGTATTACTTCAGCAGACCTAAAATTAATAGTTTGTATTCACCTGAGAGTAGATTTAAATCTATATCTCATTATTCTGATAAGTCTTTAGTACAGAATATTGATACCTAAATCTAAATCAATTAAATCATTCAAAACATTTAATACATGAAAGGCAAGATTAATTATGAAAAAAATTAATTACAACAGCTATCCTTTCTTAATAGTGATATTAATTTTTCATTTACTTCTGTTCCTCTAAGTAAATTAGATCCAGAGTCATATACAATGAAATAAAAGATTGTATAACTTAAAGAGCAAGTATGAATGTAACTTATTAGTTAAAACAATTAGAGAATGAAGAGAAGCGAATTTAATTGATGAATTATTAGAAAATTGATTAGAATGAAGAATACGCTTTTAAAAATTATACTATGAATATCATGATGAATAAATCTAAATAATAACTTATTTAACATAAAACTGAACTTATAAAGTAGATCAAATAATTAAAACAAGAAATTTATTTGGATTAAATGGAGATTAGTGTTTAAGACAATCAAATAATTGTTTTAGAAAGAAAAAATAAATAATATAAATTAAAATTATCAAAAGTCTCAGAAGAACTCAAACAAATTAAATAAAATGTAAGTGCTTTTTAATAATTTGATATGAGAAAATCTAGATAAATCAAAGATTTTATGAGTAAATTGGGAGTAGGTGATTCTAAAGCAGATGATATGGATGAAGTAATTGAAAATTACAATAGAAAAATATAGAATAATTAAAAAACAATAGATGAATTAATATTAATCGCATAACAAAGATTATACAGCACATTATCATAAATGCAAGATTTGGAATATCAAATAAAGATATAGAAAGAAGTCAAATTAGAATTATATTAATAAATTAGTGAATTAAAATTATTGATATCCAAATTTTCTAAGACTAAAAAGACATCTTTAGAAAATAATTACAATAAAGATAATTTATAAGAGGATGAAAAAGTTGATTGGATTTTAAATAGTAGAGATTTAGATGAATTTCCATTAACATAATCAAAAAATATAGATGAATTTGAAGAGGAGGATTTTTGAATATTAATTATAATTAAAAAAAAAAATCTAAATATATAATAGCATATCTTTATCATTTTATATTTAAGGAATAATATAAAATATAGTATTAAATTTGTTAATCAAAATTTTATTAAGATTGATCAAATGTAATAAAAATCAATTTATATTTAATTTTTTTAAGTTTTAAAATCCATTAGCATTCCTAAACCTTTTAGAAATCATTCATATTAGTAGTGTATAAATTAATTTATCTAATTAGTAAATAAAGATTTCTCTTTAAACTCTTAAACTCATTTTAAATCAATTTTATAGCTATAGATAGAGATTACTTCTATCTTAATGTATATAATGAAAATAAAAATGATTTCCAAATTTATTATGATTTTATAGAATGATGATTGACTTTAAATTTATATCATTTTTTTTTATGTATTTGCAAGATTCAAATTCAAATCAATCTATTTTAATCTATTTAAATGTAATAATATTTAAATTATCTCCAATAATCATATTTTTCTATTCTCCATAAATTACAATTGATCTATTCCATTAAATCTCTTAGTCTAAGTATTAATCAGGAGTTATAAAAGACTGAATTATTTTCTTTATTATCTTTCAATTTAATAACCCATAATAATTATATTATTTTTAATGAATAGTGAAGAAGAAATTCTTAAATAATTTGATACTTTGCTTAAATAAGTAAATAATTATGAGGACTAAAATCCTGGTGATGAGAAGTTAATGGAGTTAATTGAGAAATTCTAATTAACTTAATAGGCAATTATTAAATAACACATATTTTCTCCAAATGAGGAATTCAATGAAATTAAAACAGAACATCTAAAATTTTTTTTATTACCATATTATGTTGGTTGGGCATTAGCTTAAGTTTAAAATGAAGATATTAGATAAAAGAATGTTGAAACATCTAATTATTATGTTAAGGAATTTCTTAAACTATTAAGACATTATGAAATACTAAAAGGAATTCAATTAAAATTATTTAAATCCATGATGGAAAATGATACTTTATAAATAAATAGAGATGATAAGATTGCAAACTATAAAGAACAATAAATTCTGAATAAACAAATATAGGTATTTTAATAAATAAGTACTTTAGAATTTATAAAATTAAGATGATGATAAATTATCGAGAGAAATTATAACATTGCAATTAAATTAAAAAATTATATCTTCATTCGATATTCTCAATACTAATTAATAGGAATTGGAAATACTAAAATTTAAATCACAAATGAAAAAAGATAAACAACTTCAATAGCAATATTAAGAATAATAAGATAAGCCAATCCCAAAAATGAAAGTTTGGAATATTCCAGTAACTATTGATTATAATTATCTTATAGAAACCAACAATGTAACCTTAATTCTTTGATCCACATTGTCAACATTGTTAAACTGAAGCAGAACTTAGATAAAAACATGTTGCTGAAGTTTGGTAACCTAATGCAGCCAGACTTCCAAATATGACATTAGAGGAATTTGCTGATTCAGAAATGAAAGTATTATTATCTAATAAAGTATAGTTTGCTAAAGATTAAGAAGCTAAAATGAAAAAAGCATAAGAAGAACAATAAAAATTAGAATAAGATAAGGATGATGATAAAGATTATTGGGCAGATTAATAAACATTAAAAGATAGAAATTGGGATGATTGGAAAGATGATAATGAAAAAGGAGCTGGTAATAAAATGGGTAGATGAAATCATATATATCATTATTTTGATTTAATGAAATTATATGAATCTTGACACATTTCAGTCAATCCTCTTTTTGCTATCCATCCTAATTTTTCTTTTGTTTTATTTGGATTAGCAACTAATATAGCAACATCTCCAACTCTCTTATTTGTTATTTGATATTTGATAGGTACAAGTTTTGAATATTCATTAACAATATCTATAACACTAAATCCTTTACCTGTTCCAATATTAAAATAATCATAATAATTTTCATTCTTTTCATCTCTTTTTATTAATTCCTATAATGCTACTACATGAGCCTCTGCTAAATCTAAAACATGTATATAATCTCTTATTCCTGTACCATCATGAGTATTATAATCATTACCAAAAACATATAATTACTCAAGATTACCTATAGCTACTTATTCTATATATGGAAATAAATTATTTGGTTTGTTGGGCATCTCTCCAAGTTTACCATCTTTTGTTGCACCAACAGGATTAAAATATCTTAAACATAGATATCTACCTCCTTTTTTTGATAATGATCTTATCAAATATTCTATTACTACTTTAGTTTCACCATATGGATTTGAAGGTTTAAATGGAGCTTCTTCATCTACAAATTCTCCAGGAGCATAAACTGTAGCTGAAGAACTGAATAAAAAATTCTAACATTTATATTCTTCAGCACATCTTAATAGGTTCAAAGTGCCTACAACATTATTTTAATAATATTTTATAGGGTTTTCAACAGATTCCCCTACAGCTTTTAATGCAGCAAAGTGAATAATATAATTAATTGGATTTGTCTCTTAATATTTTTTAAAGACTTCACTCAATTCATTATAATTCTGAATATCTACAATGTGCAAATCTAATTTTTCACCTATTATACTACTAATAGTATCTAAAACTTAGATTTTACTATTGATTAGATTATCCAAAATAATTATCTAAAGATTAGTATAAAATTACTTTATATTATTTTCCAATGGTTTTATACAATTCAGTAATTGTAATTGATCCAATATATCCTAAGCCTCCAGTAATTAAAATTGATTACATAATATAAAGAACAAAAATATATTATTATCATTTTTATTAAGATTTATTATTAAAATTATGTTGTAATGCTTTTACTTACCAATTAATTAGATTATTTATTCTGCATCTCACTGTTAAAGGTTTAGGAGTCAATAATTAAGCAGAATCTGTTTAATTTCTAAATGTCAAACTGGTTTGAAGATGATTAATTGTATTAATTGTTTGTAAGTTTAATTTTGGAATATTTTTGTAAGTTTTTTCTTTATTAGATTACTTTTCATATTTGTAAATCATCAATTTTTTTAAATCATTAGCCTTTAATTTGGATTATTATTTATCTTTACTCCTTTTTTATTCATATGGATTATTTGAATATGAGATTGGATTTAAAACACTGTTAAAATTCTTTGAAATTTTATAACAATCTAATTAATTAGTTACTTTAATTGATCTATTGGAAGTACTTTTTAATTAAGAAGTTCTATTAATTTCTCTAAATGAATCTGGCTTATTAACTTTACTTAATATTTAATGCAATCCTTTATTATTTTAAGTACATTTATTCTTTGATGATCTTGGTGTATTTTTTTCTATATCCTTAATTGATTTCATTATTTTAAGTTCTAGCTGTTTCATTTCAGGTATTGAATTTTTGCTCTCTTTAACTTAATCAATCTTATTTTCAATTCTAACTCTGCTTAATTTAGAATATTTATTAAATAATTAAATTAAGCTTTCTTTTTGAAGATTAAGATCTTTAGTTCTCTCTTAAGATGTTTTTAATACCTTACTTACAGAGTCAGTAGTAAATCTAGTTGATAAAGGTACTCTGATATCATTGCAACATTTACTCTAGGTTCTAGAGGATTGAGATAAAGCAAACTCTTCCAACTTTAGAGATTTTTTAAATAAAGGGTTTTGCTTTTTAAATACTTAATATTTCTAAACATTTTTCTAATTATTTATTTAATCTGGATTTAGAACTTACAACATATGCATTATTTCACTTTTCTGATCTTCTTGGATTTTTGAAATTTTACTAATTTCTTCTTAGTTGGCTTAATTTTAATCAGCTTATTATTTTATATCTTGAAGAATGTTTTCGACATTATTGTTAATAGTTGAATCATTACTACTTTCAGATTCAGGAGTTGTTTAAGTCTCTATTGGTTTATCTCCCACAATACCTTTTGGAGGTTAATTTGGATTGTTTCGATTCTCATATTCTATTTATCTTTGTATTTTGTAATATTCAAGTTTTCGTTTCTTATCATAGTATAAATTCAATATTTATATTAAATTCTTATGTACAGTAAAGCGAGGTAAATCATTATGATATTTGTAGAACTCTGTTAGTAATTTAATTTTAGCAATATATTCATTAATATAGTAATATCTCTTCATTCTTTCTCCTAATTCTTAAAATTGTGTATCATCCTTAATTTATCACTAATTGCTTACATAAAATTAAATAGTAGCTGGTGTTCTGTTCTTACCCAAAATATCGTTGATTTCTTTTGTGAAGTAATAATTTTATGAAGATGCATATTTATGATAAAGAGTATGGTTGATAATGTTACTAGATGCATATTCTGAATGATAATTTCTGACATAGCCCAAGGTTTTTAATTAACATTTATGCTATTAATTCATATATAATTAAATAAGTAAATGTCCGAAGAATTAAATTCAAGTCTTGATTCCCTTGAATTAGATTTATACCACAAACCTAATCCTAGAATTAGAATGATACTTAATTACCTCAGATCCTAAAATATCAAATTTTGTACAGACCCAAAGAAGAAAGAAGAAGACTACTATTTTAAAGAGACTTCACCAGACATCAATCCTGATCTTGATTTTGGTATGAGAAGAAATAGATTTTTAAAAAGAGGTCCACAACGAAATGGAATCACTTTCGTTTCAAATACATCTTGATTTACTATTATATGTTGTTTATTATTTGATTCAGTAAGCTTCTGTTTTGAATTCTATAAAGACTCTTAACATGTATCATCAATCATACTAGATTATTTATTTTCAATAAGACCATTCAAAATAAAGTTTTTATATTTGATATATGTTGATATGAATCTTCGATTAATCAAATTTGATTTTGTTATTAAATGAAATTTGGGAGAGCATGATTTAATTATGAATTTCATCAAATATTGACTAATATATCAAAATTTATAAGTCAATATTAATAATATATAATAGTCAGTTAACTTTAACAATTACATGAAATAAAAACTTGAACTCTTGATATTTATATTATAATGTTTATAATTTTATTATTCTAGACTATTTATTCATTAGGGCCAGACAATTTTTTATGTGGATTGAGACTCTATTATGCCTAAGATTCTTATTTCTTACTTGACTAGCAGAGTGAGAAGTAAATTGTATTTATTATACTTGAGTACTATGCCATACATACTTACGAGCAAATCTCCTCATTTTGCATTGGATGTTTAAGAGAACTATTAATCAGCACATAGCATGAATAATAATTCATATTTTCTCATTAATTTTCCTGATGCATATATTTTTGCAGGAAATGCTAGCGATCTATAATGGTTGTAAATATAGGAATTCAAAGTACAACAAAATTAAACTAAAGCAGACGTTCTAATCTATAATGATTATTATGGTTATTATGTAGATAAAGGCAATCAAGGTGGTCATTTATTAATTTCTTAACAAAATCTGATTAGAGAATTTTCATTTGGTAAAACGGATGCAGTTGATAAATACCTGAAACCTGGATTTATTTATATTGTAACTTGGTCATCATAGGGAGATGTTAGTATGATTCTTAAAAGGTTTATTTAATTCATTACATAATCAGAAGGCATTAATTATTGCTAATAAAAGACTATAACAAATTCCTTAGATTAAATAAAATGTAATTTGGATTTTAATTTTGATCAATTAACTTTCCATACTCCTGATCTTTATCATCCACCAATTCATTATTATTTGGGAAATCAGACAGTTAATGGATCTCTTACAAATTAATACTTTACAAAAAATTATCCAGGTTTATAAGTTTTCGTTGCTTAGAATTTAAGTGATTCATTAGAAATTAGATTGCCTATAAAAAATATGGAAACTCATTAAAATGCTGTCGAATCTCCTTTAAGTGGATTAATAATTACTATTTAATAAGAAAACAGAGGGTTTATACATATATTAATTTTTGAAAGTGATGAAGGAATTATAATAAATTATAAAGAAGATGAAAATTTGGCTTATGTCACAATTGGTAAAACAGATTCAAAAGTTTTTGTGTTCTCTTTTGTTACTTCTTCTTTTACTAAATTTCCTTAAATTGACTTAATATAGCATGTATTTCAAGATTGCGTTAACATAATTTAGTAACGTAATAATGTTTGTGAGAAACCAAATAAGGAGTGTTAAAGACTTTCATATGATTATTTTCATTAATTTGATTTTAATTTAAATTTTGATTAATAAGTTACATTTAAACTAAATGGAGAATCCTTTTAAGCTCCTTTTATAGAATTGTATGACAATTTAAATACAATTTTAAATGAATTTACTAATTTTATATCGTCAACAATTAATAATAGAGAAATGAATCATGGAGGATATATTGGGTCATTTTTGAGAATTACTAATTAAAATTAAAGCATTAATTCATTAATTATTAATGAATAGAATGAATAATTAGAGGTGTATTACAATATTAATGATAATATATGTATGTAAATTTATTATATTCATAGACTCTCATTAAGTTTAAAATGTGAACGGAAGAACATATGTTTTAGTATTTGTTTCATAAAAAGAATTAACTGATATGGAGTGTCTTTAAATTTTTAGAGAATTTATTGATCATATTCAAAGAATTTTCATAATTGAATAATGTAAACAATGATAAATTAATCATAGTGGAATAAAGATGCGAAAGTTAAATCAAAAATTTTGATGTGAAACCTATTCAGTATAAAGATATTCACAAATTAGTAAAATAAGCAACAGAATTACTTTAGAAAACTCACTAATAAGATAATTATTAGTAAAATGATTTTGAATATTCAACTAATGAAGATCCAGAAGATAATTTGGAATATTTAGATGAAGATGAATAAATGTACATGATGGATTATGAAAATTAAGCATAATTTATGCCTAATGAAGATCCTTCAAATGAAATGACTTAAGAATAAATTATGGAATATTAAAGAATGTTAGATATGGAGTAAGAATAATAATTTTAAGAGTAATATTAATAAGAATAATAACAACAAAAATCTAGGAAAGTTGAAGAAATTCATTTCAATGATACTGGTAATTAAAAAAAACAATAATAAAATCATAATGTGGAATAAAAAGTTCAAAAAAAGTAATAAACCTAACAAAGTGTATAAAAAAAATAAAATGCCAAACCAATTGAAAAAGTTCAATAAAATTTAAGATAAAATAAATAATAAAAAATATAATAATCGTAGTAATAATAATAATAATAATAATAATAATAATAATAATAAACTTAATTACCTTCTCATTAAGAAGAATCAAAATATTAACAAACGTTTCATTAAAAAGAAGAGTATTATGATAAAAATGATAGGTATAGAAGAAGAGATATTAAGGAAAGAGGCGATTAATATGGAAGGAGAGATGAATATTATGGCAGAAGAGATGATTATGGCAGAAGAGATGATTATGGAAGAAGAGATGACTATGGAAGAAAAGATGAATATTATGGTAGAAGAGATGATTATTATGGAAGAAGAGATGATTATTAGGTTAGAGATGAGTATTATGGGAGAGATGATTATTATGATAGAGAAGATATTAAAAGAGGACCTGCATTGACTGGATAAAGCATAATTGTTCCTAGAAATCCAAGCGATTAAGAATTAGGTAGATTCTTTAGAGAAGTTATAGGGAGATTATCAAATAAAGGCAAAAATTGAAAATATAAAATAATATACAACTTTAAAATTTTTTCCAAATCCTAAATATTGAAAAAAAATGGTTATAAATTAATTTATTTTAGAATTCTTTTAGAATTTATTGTAAAAATAATTAATTAATTTATTTTTATTTATAAGTAATCACTCCCAATGAATATTTATTAAATAATATATTAATCCAAATGCAAGATTCTTAAGAGAAAATACCAAAATTAGATCTCAACAATAGAAGATCTCAATCAATGGCCAATTCTAATCCTGCATTTAAAAAACTTAAAGAGACATTGTTGATTGATAATTAAACTAGTACTCGTTAATTGAAACGAAAGTAAGGTGATATTTTGGATTCAATTCTTGAAGATGCAAATTTGATATTAAGAAATAAACTTTTAGAAAAGAATATTTATTAACTGAAGGAATTAGGTTTACTGAAATAATATGATCCTACAATAGCAATAGAATAAGGATTAAAGAAAAGTAATTATGTTATGAATGATTATCATAATAAAAGTACTACAAATGGATATTCTAGAAATTATGGAGGATTGTTTTACAATAGATGATTTATCTTAATAAAATTTTTAATAATCAAATAAATTACTACTTCTAAATAATATTCATAAATATATGGCTATTTTTAATTATCATTATTCTTAATCTTCTAATTTTGGTTGCTTATTAAGAGTTTCCATAAATTTTTCTAATGGACTAATTGTCTTAATCTATAACTCTAATAATTTATTCTTCTCTTTTAGTTTTTGAAGTTTTTTGTTTTTCTTTGATTCATCCATATCAAGTAGTGTTTACTTTTCTGTAATTTATAAGTTTGATTAATCCTATTGATTTAGATGTTTTATTAATTATATTTTGAATTTCTTTTTTTACTCATCTAATCTATTTTCAATTTCATTCAAATCATTTCTGTGTCCAAGAATAGGTTATTGTTATATATATTAATCTTTTGTTATTATAGGTTGAAGTAAATTAGGAGAAGGAATAACAGATTGATATTTCTTTGATAATTCTTCATAAGTTGAGAAATCCTCTAAATTAGATTATTTATAAATTTCCTTATTATAAGATGAATAATTTCTTAGATTTTATTTATCTTATTTCTTTCTCTTTAAATTACATTCATCATCTTGATTATGATTATGATTCTATATTTAAGTATTTGTGTCATTTTTAAAATACACACCATCACTTAATTATTCTTATATTTTAATATCACATTCAATAAAATCGCTAGGATTACGATGAAATAATTCAAAGCATGGAAATGCACATATAAATATTTTATTTTCATTAAATAGTTTTTCACATAATCTACATCTATAAAAAGGTTTTGTTAATTAGTTGAATTTCATGCATACAACACAATATTTAAATGATTCTTCTTATTTTTAAGGTATTGGTGTATGATATAAATCACTATATTATTTATTAAGACCAAATTCTAATGATTGTGTATTGGTTGCACTTTCTTTAAATGTAGAATTCATTCTTTTTTTGGCTTTCTGTAAATTAGTTTCTATTTATTGTGCTTTTTCAAAAGTAAAGATTTTAGCTAAACTTATTCTAAAATTGGATTATAGCATGTCTTCAATCAATAAGGATGTGTTATAGATCATAACTTCAAAATATTCTTCAAATTCTATTCTCAATTAATTGAATCCTTCTATATTATTTAATTAAGAACATAGATAAAAATTGCTTCTATATTGTAATAAATTCATAATTGAATTTTCATAGTATTGTTATTAAATATCTTTGTAGACTTAAAGAACACTTTTATTAGAGATTGATTATTTTTAAGGGAATAAATGTACTTATGATTGATTTTTTATTAAATATAATTATTCTATTTAATATTCACCAGGCAATAAATTTTAAATAGTTTAATGTAATGTTTTTTCATAAGTAATAATAGGGTAGATATCTTAATCAGTTAATTATATGATTCTTTCCAAATTCAATTCAAACATAATATATAATATATGATTGCGATTTGAATATTTAAAAAGCATCCTCATAAGTCGATTAATCTTATCCTATAATTGAATCCTATGAGAAACTACAATCAAATCTATAATGAATAATCTTTAAAAATCAAAGAGATAGTAAGTAGTATATGCCTTATATATTTACTCAATAAGAATCAATTCTTATTCTGGTTAACAAATAGATTTAACTAATTTTTGGATTTATTGTAATTCATTTTGCAATTTAGATTTAGCTTTTTCATTTAGATACATAAATAAATGAGTGTCCAGAAATTTAAATCTACCTATTGGCATCATATATTCTATTCCACATCTAAGCCAAGGTTCTGCATTCCAATAATCATCAATATAAGGAAATCTAAAAATTCCAAATAATATTTGTAATCCAAAATAAAGTTGTATTTCTGTTTCTTTATATTTTTTTTTATTGTATTGAGATTGAATTTTATAAGGTTGTTATTTCAAATCTTCTTCTAGAATAGCAAGTAAATATTGATTAACTAAATCTGTTAAAGTGATAATCAGAGAATTAGGAAAGAAATTATCGTATATATTTTATGGTGTTTAGAATTAGTGTATTTTCTTTGCAGGATATTATGAGTATGACAAAATATCAAAAGATTTTGGTATAACAGCTTCAATAATTTTGAATGTTCTTTCCAGATTTATTTAAGAAATATAATCTCTTTCATCATCAGAATCCATTTAAGTACAATATTCTTCACAATCACTAAGAATAACTTCTTATTTCCAAAAACAATTATACTTCCTAACTTTCTCTGAAATTTGTAATGTTGTTGGTATAATGGTTAATGATGTAGTAGAATTGTTTATTACTTCTTGTTTCATTGTAATTATTAAAATAGTGGTTCTAATATGGGATGAGATAATTATCTTGGAAATAAAGAGATTATTATATGATATCCTTTTATTTTTTTAGAAAATGTAATTATATATATATATATATTTGTTTATATAATTTAGAGAAAATATAACAAGTTTAAATTAAATAATTTCTTAATTCTCTCTTAATGCAACGAGAAAACTAAAATGATAATAAAAGCAGAAGCAGAAGTCGAAGCAGGTCTAGTAAAAAGAACAATCAACATAACCAAACCTAAAATAGCATAAATTAGAAATATCAAAAAGAAGGAAATTGCCATTATAATGATAATAAAGAATATATTTCTCATAATTCTAGTCCAATTAGATTATAAGAAGAACATCATATTAGTGATGAACATACTAAGTAAATATTGTTTTTATGCAGAGAAAGCAAAGAAGAATATAAGATCTTAGATCAGAATTAGAAGATTAATATAGCGCCTAATAATTAATTTTAAATACAATGTGAAAATCTAGATTTAGGAATTAGACATCATACATCGATTCCTTTACCTTAGAAGGAGGTTAATAGTAATACAAAAGAGACCCTTGATAAATAGCCATCTGAAATGATCACAATAAATGACAGTAGCTATGAAGAGGATCAAGATGCTGGCAGCATTGGAGATAAAGCTGGTCATCATTAGGATGAAGATTAAGTTGAGAATTATAAAACTGATTTAACAAAAAATGGACTTTTAGGATAAAAAATACCAAAAATTTAGAGAACAAAAATAAAAAGATCATTATAAGATACATAATAATAATAAAAATAAACAAAATAATCTGTCGAAAGTATAGAATTAAATAAGGATGATAATATTTTATCCTTTTTTGGACTTAATCATCCAATGTTATAAAGTTCTCTAGAATACAATAAAAAAGAATTATTTGAATTAGTAGAACCTTATGAATATTAATGTGGAAATTTCATTATTAATTTGGGTATTCAGGGTCATTATACTGCTATAGTGACTTTGCCTAGTCTATCCTAAAAGAAAACAGTTTATTATTTATTTATGATGTTCTAATTTGAGTTAAAAAACATTTATTGCTTAATCCCAGAAGATGATTAAACAATATTACTGGTTAGTTCTAATATTTAATCACTTTATTATTACTGTATTTCAAATAATCAATAAAAAGGAAATTATAAAACAATCTTCTAAGATAGTAATCTAAAATGCAAATTTCCCTATATCTTTCCATCTTTAATTAGAAAATTTATAGTTTCATTAAAAAAAAATGATTAATAGATTCGATATCAAATTAATTATGATTCACATGCAACATAATTAGCTATAGAAGATTATTATTAGGATATTCCTGGACACTTAATTACAGGTACTAGTCATCCTTTTTTGAAAATACTTTTTTTTAAATCCCAAAATAATTAGATTCCTTCATTTTATTATAAATTTTTAAGTACTCCACTATATGAAGGACAATTTAGTTTAAAGGCTTCACTTTAATAAAATGGGAATATTATTGTTATAGAGAGAAGGTTTTAATATTAATCATTAATTTTAGGTTTTTAAGTCCTTTCTGTTATGGTATTCATTCAATTAAAATTGAAATTAATCGAATTACAAATATTATAGTAATGAAATAAGTTGGAAAAGATTATGAGATTCAATCAAAAAATATTCAATAATTTTGGGATGATGTCAATTTAAAATATCTTTAATTATACCCTTCGTATAATATTATTTTATGTTTAGAAAATTATTATATAACTATTTTGTAGAACTCATAAATTAAGATAAAAAGGTCTCAGAAAAGTATAAGAAATGGAATCAATTATATGATTATTTGAGTAAATCTCAATAATTCAAAAATACTAAGCAAAATGATAAGTCCATTATTGTGAATAATAAACAATTCTATTGTTTTTCTATAGAGGACATTAAAAATGGAAACAAAATTAAATATTTATGATAAATATGAATAAATTATAGTTTGTCTTTAAATTTTGTACAGAGTCTCAAAAGTCAATCTATAAACTTGAGAATGCTTAAAAATACATCTCTGATTTAGTGTAAAAGACTGATTGGATTAGTTTTGCTATATCTAAGCATATACCTAAATAAGTGAGGTACTAATTAATAATTGAATAAAGATAAGATTACTTGAATATCTGTCAATTTCATAATGAATTAGCAAGAATTGAAGAAACATCTAAAGAAAGATCTCTTGGAGTAGGCAAACTATAATATTGGTCAGATCAAATCGATTAAGTAAAATTCCTTAAGAATTTGAGATTTTTTTAGATAATCCCTAAAGAGATCCTTTATCTATTTGTCTTCACAATAGTTGCAAAAATAACCCATTGCCAAAATATCTATTTCAAAAAATGATAAATCATCGTAAACAATAAGTAGAAAGATCAGAATTTGCAAATCTTGTAGATATGGCCACAGCTGCAGAAGTAAACAGAGGATCACAATTCTTATTATTTTTACGATTAATGAGAATGGATATTGAAAATCAAGATTTAAAATCATTAACAGAATATTCAGCATAAGCAGTTGGCATTACAGATTATCTAAGACGAGTGCCTTTCACACTTTAAAATTATAAATTAAATTTACCAGAAGATATCAAAATAAAACATAGTATAAATGTTCGATCACTTTGGGATAGAATAAGGGGTAATTATTTGATTAGAATTTTTAGGGGAACCAAAGGAAGAATTATATGATGCAGTTTTAGAAGTGGCTGCTCTCGCAAGAACATAAATGATTAATGCTAATAAATTTTCCAATAAAATACCTGCTTAATCATTTAGAGCTTTTTTGCATCTAATTCCAACAGAATAATATTTAGAAGAACTCGAATATTATAATTTTAAGATATTTGAAAAGTATTGTTTATATTTATATTAGAGCAATCAATTAAAATTCATATGTGTAGTTACCCATAACATTGTTTAAAAATTGTAGAAAAATGAGGTTTCTAAATAAAGATTACGAATCCTAATGAGTAATAATTTATAGATATTAAATTAATTTTATGAAAAAGTCATATTCATAAAATAATTCAGGAAATTTTGATTTTCCTGAAGTTAATAAACCAAGATTCGAACCTTAACTTCATAAAATTAGTGCAAGTACATAGTAAAAGGTTGTAATATAAAAATTGACAAATTCACTCAATAATAATAAAATTGTTACATAATCAACAGAATAACCTTAGACTATAAGAAGTTAAATTTAAAAGCCTTTTATTAATTCAGATAGATTTATGTTTGATTTAGATGCTTCAATGGTTTATATACATAGAGAAAAAATTATGTAATTTGAAGAAGTTGAATAATAGAGAATTGTATAATTATTAAAAGATGTATAATCAAAGGTTCCTTAAGTAAATGATAAAGTAAATCATTTCATAGCATTAGCAGGTTAGTTCGAAAATGAAAAAGTTAATCCATTAGTAAATTAATTCATAAAAGTAGTTGAATAATTATTGTAAATATTTGATGAGAAAACAAAAGAAATAAAAGAATATTAATTTGCTTTGAAATAAAGTAGAGAATAAGTATAAAATAATAGCAGATTAATAGAAGATTAATCATAAATGATAAAATATATGGAAAGTTAAAATTAAAATGCTAAAAATGTTACAAGAACATTTTAGAGATCTAATGAATTAGCTGTTATAAATGTTTAACTAGAAAAGAAAGTTGAACTTTTAAATTAGAATTTATAGTTTTTAATGAATCAAAATAAAGATAGTTTAGCTACTTAATTATAATAAAAAATTGATTAATTAAATAAAACAATTGAAGAATAATAAAATAAATTATATGATGATAATAATAAATAGATTTAATTGTAATAATAAATATAAACTTTAAAATCAACTGAATTTAAACATTAAATATAACTTAGAAAATTAGAAGATAAAATATAAGAATATGAATCAAAATTAAAAGAATTAACTTTTCAAGTTTCATATTCTAAAGAATAAAAAGATTAATATAGAGAACTTTATTATATGACATATGAAGATTTATAAATGAATAAATTAAATACTTAAACAGAAAGAAAATAAATGCAAAAGAGTTTTGAAAAAATTAGAATGTTATAAGATAGAATAGATGAAATGACAGTCAAAAGAAGTAAGGAAATAGATGCTCCATTTTAAAGTAGAGTAGAAGGAGATGTAATACAATTATAAGCAATTACCAAAATTTTAGATGAAGATCACGTATTTTAAAGGTATATGATGAGTAGTTTTCTAAAGAATGTTTAAGAGTATGATTCAAAATTAGTAGATGCATATGTTGATGTTAAAAGATTAGTAATAGGTAGAGATGAAGAGGCAGAATTATAAACATTAAGATATAATTATCCACCCTTCACTTTATTTTTAGAAAAGAGAATTGTTGATTAAGAAACATAATATCTATAAATAAGACCAATATCTAATAATTTTATGGGTTTACTTAGAGCTATTTTAGATGGAATGTATATTGAGTTTCAAAAGAATACTTATATATCTTTTTAAAGTTATATAATATCTTGGTTAAGTACATTCACAATAGAGAATCATCAAGTTATAATATTTCCAGAAGATACAAAAAGAGTAAATTTACAAACTATAAATTAAGGTCAAGATAGAAGAGTAATTGCACACTTTTTATCTAGATTTAATGGTACCCAGATTAGATAAAGTATGGGAAGTAGTATAATTTAGACATTTTTTAAATGATATCTATTCATTAGAAGAATTATATTTCTATCTTCATGTTCGCTTTTTATTAAGAAGAGGACCTTGGATTGAATAATTTGATGCAATATATGGTGTTGTCCATTATATGAAAGTACAATAAGCAGAATCCATAATACTTAGATTTTTAGAATAATTTGATAAAATAAATTAAACATTAGTGATGAGAGCAGTCAATGAACGAATTGTAGAAGGGAAAAGTAATTAAATATATAATTATATAAGAAGATAGAAAATTAATATAAACAGGTTTTGTTTTGTAGTTATTATTGGAAATTTTCAGAATAGATAGAATTAATAGATACAAAATTCTATCTTTTGCTTTTCCAGCATAACCTATTAACTTTAAATAATTTCATAAATTTGTTAGAGGAAATTTTTCAAAATGTACTGAAGGTGAAGCTGCAGAGTTATGGAGAGAAGTCTACATGATTTCAAATGGTATTCCAAATTTAAATTCCTTTTTTACTGCTGCTTAATCTTTATTTATTAAATCACTTATACTTCCTGCAATATATACTGTTCCTCTTTTAGATTCAAATAGAAAATTAGCTTTTGATGAATTAAACTTTACTACAATGAAAATTTAAGAATAAATGAAAGAACTTACTGATTCTGATTTTGATGTCCTTAAAACATTAATACCTACAATTTATTAAGAAGAAATGATTAGAATAACAAAATAATTAATGCCAAAAAATTAAATTCAATTTGTTAATCCTCTTGAATATATATTTAAATTTATGAAGCTTATACTCACATTAAAATATAATACAATTTTAGCAGATGGTTTAGAAGAAGATGGAGTAAATAGAAAAGGTTTTATTACTGAAACATTTACATAATTTATCACTTAAGAAATTAATGAATTAAATAAAATTACTTATAAAAAGTAATCATTTATGTCAGATTAAGAAATTAGAATATCTAGATTATAAAAATTTGCCAAAAAAAAAGTAAAGAAGATCTATGTTATCATGTCATCTGTGTTACAATCAAGAATTAAATAATGATATTTATTTCATATATTATCAAAATCGTTGAAACTCTGAATTATTGCTCCTTAATTAATATATTATCCAACATCATCTACTACTTATTATATTAGTTATGCCTGTTATGTCTAAATTTGAGCTTAGGAATTTTAGGTTTATTATTATTATGGATCCTTTGGTTTTGCAGGTTTTCTCTTTGTTGCTCTATAATCTTCAATTATCTTCTTTCCTTTTTCCAATTTAGTTTCTTAGGTTTCATTAACAAAATCTCTTTCATTTTATTCTTGTTGATCTTTCTCATACAATCTTATATACATATTATTTAACAAAGGTACTATAGAATCCTATTTAAATAAATCAATAGTCCTTCGATATGATTCAGACTTCAATATTATATCTCTAATTAAAATTTTATCATCTATCCTCTTATATTCCTCTAATAATCCAATACAAGCTTAATATAATCTAAGATCATAAGTTTTATGCAATTTTTCAAAAAGTTAATAGATATCTTTATATTTTTACATTTTTAATAAAATTTTAATAATTAATTTTATTATTTTAGACTTTTAGTAATTAAATATTAGATCTTATGAATAATATTGGCTTAGTACTTCATCTTTTTCACATTTGTATTTATCAATTTATAAATAATAATATACTAGATCTCTACTATTTGGTTAATAAATAGAAGATATTTAAGCAAAAACTTAATCTATAGAAGCTTAACTATTAAATTTTAAATGAGTTGCATAATAGAATGATTCTATAACATATCTTTATGCTTTTTTTCTAACCAATTTTTATGTATTCTCTATGAATATTGTTAAAAGATTATTTAATATTAAATTAACTTCCTATTTATTGTATTCAGTATTCTCTTCCTATTCAAGTTGTTCTTAAGTAATATTTGATATTTTGAATTTTCTATTATCATATTAAAATTAAAATTAAAGATCGCTTTGATTTTAATTTAATAAATAAGAAAATTTATCTTTGATAATTAAAACTAATTAATTTAATTAATTGTAAAGTCTGTGTCTTAAAAACCTTCTTATAAATTTATAAATATTTATATAAAGATCTTACTTCATTTCTTGTTCACCATCATTTGATTGATAAAAATATTCTATTTCATATTCTTTCATTTATTTAATTAAATTTACCAGACTGCAAATATTATCTAAATTTTAACTAATTCTTTCTATTGGGATGTTTCTGTATTTTCTCATTACTTTTTTTTCATAAAGTTATAAAACTCTAAAATTGTTTTCTATTTCAAAAGCATCTTTTGGTACATTGAATTATTTTTAATAAAGAGCTTAATATCCTTATTCTGTCTTTTTATACAGCTATTCATTATTTGAATGTTAATATTCAACTTATCTTTACTTTAATTTGATAAGGTCCATAATATATCTAAACTCATTTAAATGATTTAATTAAGGATTTTTATTTACTAATGCTTGTATCTTTTTCTAACTTAAAAACCAATCAATTTCAGTTTAAGTTTTCTACTTAAATTATTTTTAAGCTTATTCAAAAGTACCTTAGTATAAATAATTCCATAAAAATGGTGATTCTTTATAAGCTAAAGCATAACAAATATTTTTAAAATCAATTTTCTATTGATTTTCATTTTAATTTAATTCTTCTGATTTTTAAATTTGATAATATAAGTTAGATTTGTAATCACATTATAAATTATTTTGATTAATATATTCTTAAAATTCTTTTATTGATGAAATTTATGATTTTTATTTAGTAAATATTTATGAATATAACCATTCAGCATATTCTTAAATCTTAACATCATTAAATTTTTGTAAAGACTTCTTAACTATATCTATAATAAATTGATTTAATTATCTTTAATCTTACAATAACTTTGGAAAATGAGTTAAAAAATATCCCATAAATTAAAGCTCAATTTCAGATAAATCTCTTACAAATTCTTATTAAAGATAATAACTTTTTAAAAATATGTATAAAAAGTTTTTGCTTAATTCTTTAGTACTTAATCCAAATTCAATTCTAATTTTCTCTTTAGCAAACCTTTTAATATGTTCAATAATTTTAGGGTCTCCCATATTTATTTTTATAGTATGATTTTATAAAAATTCAACTATTTTAGTTGGTAATTAATAATTTGATTTCCCTATTTTAAAAACAGTTTCTATTTGATCTTATGTTAATTATAGATTTTAGTATTATTTCTAAAATATCTCATCCTATTCTACTTCATCCTCAGAAGCACTTGAAAATGATTCTGGTTAAGAATATTTTGTTTCAAATTTTTCAACTTCTATCTACAACTCATTTTATTAAACAATAAATTAAGGTGTATATTAATCTTTTAAATCTATTAAATGAATTAAATAGTAACGAAGTTCTAAATCACTTTATACATTGTTTTTGTATTAATCTATTAATTGATTATATCTATTTTTCATTTTTATTTTTATTTTAATAAATTCTTAGAGAATAAGATCTATATTAATATATGTGAAGAGTTTATTTATATTAAGATGATGAAATCTTAGAATTTCCATCAAAATTAAATGTTTATTGTTACCATTTGTTTGAGTTAGGAAAATTTCAATAAATTTAGCCAAAAACTCACTTGAATCTAATTCCATTAAAGAATAAATTATAGAAAATTTTAAGAAAATAAATCCAATTAAAAGATCAGGTTAGTTAATATTCAAAAATTACTATATTATTGGTTGAACAAATTTATAAATTACTTTAAGTTCCTCTTTTTATTATACAAAATAAAATTAATTAAGACAGATAATAGCTAATCTTTTAATTAAATCATAACTTTAATTCTATTACAAATAATCTTACACATAATTTATTTATGTTCTAATTTTTTCATTATCTTCTAATCTCTATTCTTTTTATTCCCATTAAGTAAGAATTTATTATATTTATTAAGATTAATGTGGTGAGTTTGAAGAAATTTAAAATTATGCTGATTTTATCTTATCTAGAATTTCTTATGTTATTTCTGGATTATTTAATTCTTATGCACATAATTTGGCTATTCTTCCTTAAAAAAAATTGATATCACTATGTATATAAGCCATCACTCTGTAATAATTTGATAAATAAGTTTAAATTTCTGCTTAATCATTTATTATTTGATTTATGTTTGTTTATAAAAGTTCTATTTTCATATTATTAATAAATCTAATAAAATTTTTTATTTTGTTTTGTTGCTCTGGAGATTTTGGTTTTTTTTCTTTAAATCTAAAAGTTAATTCTTCATATGCAACTTCCAATAATCTTAATTTAATTTTAGGATCATCAGTAAATTTATTTGTAGAGTACTAAGCCCATACAATACAATTTATTAAACCTCTAAGTGCTTCATGGTATGAAGAACCATAAGAATTTTTAGTTTAAGGACTCTTTTATTGTTCATTTAAAATATCCTATTATTATTAGGGAATATTATCATTTTATTAATAATCTTAACAAATTAAAGTTATTAATTTTTGTAATAATTAAATTATTGTTAAGAACTATTAATTATTTAATTGTTCTAATAGAAATTTAGCTACAGGACATTCTTGTTTTTCATTTTATTCACTTGAAATTTTATTGTTATTATTATTAAGTTAGAATATTTCATTTCCATCAAATTATTTTATTAATTCAATCAATTTATTATGATTAGATTGAATTATTTAATCTAAAACAAATTATTGATCTTATTGTTATTTTGTTTTTTTTGACTTTTATCTTTCAGATTATTTGACTGGTTAATTTTCTTTTGGTAATTCTTTGGATATATCTTTGGAATTCTATTATTATTCTTTAGAAATCACTATTATTTTAGTATTAGACATAAAACATTTTTCATCCTAAATGAAATCTTACTTTTTTGGTTCAAAATTCACATTAATTTATAAAATATTCTATAGTTTTTTAAAGAATTTCTTTAAATCATAAGTATCTAATTTAATTTCAAACTAGAATGTTTAATTAAAATATTTTAATTTTTAACTTGATTCAAAGGGAATCTTTTCCAATTATTATTGAATTTAAGATTACTCTAACAAAAGGTCATTAACAAAATCAGTAATATTATTTTTATTAATAAAATATTTGTTCAATTCTGCAATTTTTAGTTTCAAATTATTATTATCATTCATTTTATCAAAATATATTTAGAATTATTTTTAATCATCCATTAAAAAACAAATAGAACAAACTTAATATAATATGGCCTAGATGAGATTAGGTTAATTGCATAATTGTAATCTATATAAATCTAATTTAATTAATACGCTTTCAATATAACATTTAATGCTCTAGGCATCATTCCTAATTGTCTAAATATTAAAGCCATTTTCCTTTAGGTTTACCAACAATTATCAGAAATTTATGTACTTTGATAATAGTAATATAAAGCTTCACATTTATTCTCTACTTAATCACTTTATGCTTGAATTTCAGCTAATGACATATAGATGCCATATAAAATCTTTTTATCATCTTAATTAATAATGGATTAATTCTGCATTAAATCCTTTAAAATTTGTATTCCTTTTGTTTCATTGCCATTTTCTAGAAGGTCAATTGCATATTAGTATTACTAAAATAATTCTGACTCTAACTTTTCTTGATTTTGACTCATTAATAAAATAAAATATTATGTAAAAATAAATTCATTCATCCTAACTAAACACTAAATCATTTAATTATACAAAGAAAGTAGGTAATGTAATATCTTTAGAAGGTATATAAACATCCTTAGCATATTCAAATTTAAAATCTTCATAAACACTTTCAATTAAATTCTTCGTATGTTCACTTACTAACATTTTTCCTTCCTAAAATATTAATTATATAAATACAGATCCTGATGATTCCATAAGATTAGCAATAGTTACATCTTCACCATAGATATCATATCTTACAACATCTGTACCAACAACTCCTCCTAAAACCTTACCTGTATGTACTCCAATTCTCATATTTAGATGTTAATATTATGGATCTTTATTACAATCATTAATAATTTAAATCATTTTCAATCCAAATACTAATACATTTTAAGCCTATGAAAAATTAAATTAAATAATATACTTCTTCAGCAGGATCTCTTTAATTCAAATCCATTACACCCATACAAACATAACAATCTCCTATTGTGAATAATTTATACACTTAAGTCATTTAACAAAATTCATCAAAAGTTTAGAATAAATTTCTAAGCATTTCTACAACTGTTTCTGGTTCCACAGAACTAGAATATTTTGTAAATCCTGCAATATCTGCAAATAACACAGTAGCATTTTCTAATACATCAATAAAAGTTTCTGTGTTATCTGAATCTGGTTACAATAACCGTTTTAATGCATGAGGTGGCATTAAATATTATAACATATTTTCATACTTTGCAATTTATATTTGTAATTATTAACTTACTTTATAATTTTTCACTAAAATTTAATTAATTTAATGTTAAGAATAGAAAGTGATTCCAATTATACATAATCCAAAAAATAGAATTTCCAATATAAATTATTCATAAATAGTTACTAATACTATTAAAACAATATAAGTTATCAATAATTTATATTTGTCAGGTACTATCAATATTTATAAATAGAATAAATTAACATAAATTGATGTTATCTGACAAGTTTATAATATTATTTAAAACTATGCTACTTCACTAAATTCAATCAAAATAAGATTTAAAAGATTTGTTGTAATGAAATAAATGAATCCAAAAGTCTTTATTTTTTAAAAGTCAGTTTATTCCTTATACTTATAGATTGGAATAGCCAAACCTAAACTTATTGTTATTTAACATAATACTGAAATTAATAATTCTATTTGTGTTTTTGAACTTAAATCGTCTAATAAAAAATATAATAAACTTTTAAAAATCATTAATATTAGCAAAAATGAATATGTTGATCTAAAATTTATCAATTCTTGATCTTTGTATTCTTCATAAATTTAATAGTATGCTATTTAATCCTTACTATCATAAAAGCTTTTAAATTAATCTAAATCATAATCCTTATCAAAATCTAATTTGAATTTTTTGATATTTTTTAATTTCAAAAGATCTAATTTCTTCTAAAGCATTGAAATACCTTATCTTTTATTTACTTCTAACTCTTCAAATTTATCATATTAGTTATCATTACACTTCTTAATTGCAGAATCAGAAGATTCATATTAAATAGGTTTAATTGATTTTTATTTAACTATTTATCTTCTTCCTATTTATTCTGTTTATAAATCATTATCAATCTATGCTATTTTTATTACTCTATCTTTATCCTTCTCTTCAGGAATTATTATTCTTGTATTAGATTTCATTAAACCACTTTTTCTTTATTGTACTAAATCTACCATAATTATAGTTCCTTTCTTTTTTAATTAAGGTCTTTATATCTATTGTTGGGTTTACTATTATGGTACTTAAACTTCATCTTCATTCTTCTCTTACTATAAACTCTCTTTGCTTGGATGTTCAGCTATTAAAAGCAATTAATTTTATGAAGCTTATTAAAAAGAATTAATTAATGGTATTTAAGTGTTGTTAGAACCTTAATTATTTTGATTGTGCACTTAATTTGATTATGTTTAAGTTTTCATATCAACTTGTGAAAATTAAGTCATTGATATTTATTATAAAGTTCCAGCATAATTATTATTAGTTCCATCTTCAGATTGTCTTACTAATCTTCTATGAGTTGTTATACTATTTCTCATAGTACTTATTAGAGCTGGGGTTTTTGCCTTTTGATGAACTTAAGATTAATTATCATTCTATAATATATATATATATTATTTTTTACATCTAAATTTGATCCTGATTTTGATTTTTAAGAATTCAATCTTTTTAAATCTAAATCCTTACAATCATGTTCAATAGATGACTTTTTCTTAATAATTACTAAAGGTTATTATTTATTTTTAATATCCTTTTAAATCTATTTAAATAAAACTTATGTGGATTTTGTATCACTATTAATTCCTACTTAATTCATCATAGATCCTCTTTTCATTGCTCCTTTAAGTGGTGTTTTAGAATTATCTGATGTTTTCAAAGGCTTTATTTATACTTTACAATCAAAATCATTATTTTTATCAATTTTATCAAAACAAGCTTTTGGAGTAACATTTTTACTTGATTCTTTTTCTTTAGAAAATATTTTCAATCTAAATGTTTCAAGAGTACCTTTCCCTTTAGCAGCCACTGATTTTTATTCAAATTAATATTTAGTAGTATCTTTAATATGATTATATGCTGATTCACTTAAGGTTATAAAACCAGCATCACTAGTACTACATACTCTACTAGTAGTATTAACAGTATCTCCAATCAATGAAAATTATGGTTTATGAAGTCCTATAACACCAGCTATTACTCTTCCATAATGAATTCCTATTTTAAGTTTGACATCTTAATTGTCTCCATATTTCATTGTTTTAACTGTTTCCATCATTGCTATAGCTGTTTCTAAAGCTCTTGTTGTACTATTAGCATTTTTTTAATCTAATTAATATTTATATATATATTTATACTTATAACTGCATCATAATCTTTTAAACCACCAGCTGCCATATAAGTTTTACCTACTGTTTCAATCTTTTATAAATCATATGTTTAACATAATTAATCAAATGCTCTATAAAGAGTATCCAAAAAATCTAAGATATTCTCTTATTAAAATTTAATAACCTTATCAAATTAATAGATATCACAAAAAAGTACAGTTACATCTCCTTAATCTTAAGATATTTAAATCTATCCCTTATTCATTCTCTCTTATATAAATCTTGGCATTAATAATCCTAGAATATTGTTAATTTTTTTTTTCTCATTATTTAATCTATTTTAATAAATATAAAAGGATCTTTATAAAAAGTGAGTTTTTTATACTATTTAAAAGATTGGATAAGATAATTCAAGTAAGAGTAAACTATATTTAGCAATACAAAATATCAGAATATTATTATCTGAAAAGTTCATTGTAAAAGCATCAGAAAGTACATTAATCACATAATTAATTAATTAAAGTGTTACATATAATAATAAAACAATTTTAGGTTGAGTAGTCATTGCAAATACTAATATAAATTAAAAATTAAATAAAAATCCTACAAATGTTTATTCACTTTCAAAATAAAGAATATCAATTATAATTTAAAAAATGAATCTTAAAATATAAGAGAGTATTTATAAATTTTGTTTAGTCTTTTTATCATTTATAACTCTGAATTATAAAAAGGCTATAAATATTTAAATGACAAATTATATTATTGCAGTTATAAGTATTGAAAATTAAAATATATCTGCTGTAAATATTTCATAAAAATGCATAATAATTATGCATATATCATAAAAGATAAATGCATAAACAATATTATATCTATGATTATTTTGTTCCCTAAAAAAATCTTAAAAAGATGATTCTGTTTTTTTATCTTAAAATCCATGTAGTTTATCCATTTCATCTATTAGAGATTAATCTCCTTTAATTTATTTTATAATGCATTCTTCAATTATATCTTTATTATCAAATAATTAATCAGTTAATTATTTTAATTTTTAATTAAAAATTCTTAATTTTTCATCCTCAAATTCACTAAGGGAATTCTAAGAAGATATATTATTTTTCAATTGTTTTATTTCTTGATAATTCTAATCATATGAATATAAGTCAGATGGAAGTACAAATTAAATTGAGAAAATTTATAAGGTTTCATAAATAATATATGATAAACCAAGTACAAATACTGCAATAAAAATAAAAGCTATAAAATTTTCTAAATCAAATTCTTCAATAATCATTTAATCATCTACACTTGTTTATATGAAATTAAATATAATTATAAGTATTGATATCATTACAATACTTGAACATATTTGTATTATTTTATGTTAAATCTAAGTTGAAAGAGAAAATATATAAAATATTATTTTAGATTTCTCCAAAATCTCCAAAGCTATATAAAGCAAGATTATTTATTAAGTTTAATCCACTTTACCATTTAAAGATACAAAGTTTAAAATAGAATTTTGGATTAATATCAATATACAAAAATCAATAATAGCTATTAGAATGACTTTTAAAGCTGATTTAAATAATATTTTATTTTTTAGATTTGATAATAATCTAGCATAATTATTTGCATTCTTCAATTACTATTTAGTATGTAATACAAATAAATAATAATATTAAATACTCGATAATAGATTACTTGGTATTAAATAAAATAATAATAAATAAAACATATTAATATCGCTTAATCCAAAATGACCAGCAAATATTAATAAACCTATTAATGTACATCTATATAATTAAACTTCTATAATAGCTAAATAATTTAACATCTAATTAGGACAATATATGAATAACATTCTAAAAAGTTATTTCATATTAAAAGTAACAAATTTTGGATTTAAAGTAGATATTAATGATTAATTTCTCATTAAACTAACTGAAACATCTGATTTTGAAAACATATATGCATTATCTAAAGAATTTCCTACAGTAAGTATTTTTTTATCTGCCATTTTTAATAATTTGATTAGTTTTCCTTTCTAACTACTATTAAATTGATAAGCTCCTAATCCATATGAAAATTAAACAATAAATATAAAATGATATTTTAAATAATCATCATTTAAAATTGTATTAAATGCTTCAGAACTAACAATAATAAATTTTTCATCATTTTAATTAGCATTTTAATTTTCTAATAATGCTTATATATGTTATTTGACTTTGAATTATAATTGTTATTTATCTTTTTCTTTAAATTCTACAATTTATTCTTTAGAACGTATAATTTAAAAGCTTCTTAAAAATATTAGTAGTTCATCATAACCATATTATATAACAAAACAAGTTTTTAAATTAAAGTTATATAAATGTTAAAATATTTTATCTTAATCTAAAATATCATAATTTAATTCTTAAGAAGAAAGTACTAAACAATTTGTATTGTGTGATTTAATACCAATAGAAAATATAGGTTCACTTTATTATTCTAATTCAATAAATAATTTTTCAATTTCATGAGATCGATTACCATAAGTTTCATAAATAGCTGAAAGTTTCTTTAAGAATTCATCAGTTTATATTTAATCTAATTATTTTTTTGTATATAAGAATGTTTTTTATCCATCCCATGTCATTTCAGATAAATATTCATTGTATTTATTTTCCTATTAATTAAAATTACTAGTTTCAATACGTGAATAGAGTAAAGCTCCTTCATCTAATAAAAAAGATTCTGGATCTCTAACTAATACAGATAATACATTTTTTCTATTTTCAGTAGGTTCTAAAAAAGTCAAAACATCAAATATTTTAGATATATTAGAAATTGTAATTACTTTTTTAATAATTGTTTTCATATTGAATTCTGGTCTTGAATTTTCAATTTCAGTTGCACAAACTAAACAATAATCAAATAATTCTGTAAATTATAGTATAGATTAATCATATTTATTTTCAAAATTAAATTCTAATTTTTATAATTTTTCATTATAAAGTGTCATTACACTATTTGTAATTAACATCATAATTAAAATTTCATTATGAATAGTATCATCTTTATTATATAATACATCTATAAAATCTTGTTCATTTAATATATCACCAACTAATCTATCTTAATTAATTTCAGTTAATTTTGATTAGGAATTTTAAAATGAAGATGAATTATGTTTAAATAAAGTTTATGAACGTATGAATTAACTTTTTTATTTTAAAATAGGTGGAGAATGAAATGATGATGAACCATTATTATTAGATATATCTTTACTACTATCATGTGAATTAGATTAATTATTAGGTTTTGCAGCAAATGATTAATCAAAAATAAATCTAGAACTCTTTTTTTTTCCAATTCCATTAGATAATTTTGGTTCTTATTATTTAAAATCAGATAGAGTATCTTTTCTCATAAATTATATTTTTTTTATTTATTTTGTAGAAGCAAATGAATCTTATGAAGTTCTTAAATCAGGTACTCTTTTTTCTGATATAAGCATTTCAATATCTAAAGTTTTCATTTCATCTTATGTTTATTATCTATTAGTATCTATTAACATTTTATCACAATTAGTTTTTTATTATGGTGATGCTTTAGTAACAAGATCTTTTAATTTATCATAATTAAATTAATAATTTTTAAAATTCTATACTAATTATACAACTTTATGTGTTTCTTTAAATAAATGTTAAGGATTTTCAAATACTATAATGTCTGTTTAAATTAAATCTAGAATATTTTAAGGTGCTAAAGCCAGAAAACCACTTATATTTTATTTATTACTATTATGTTTTATTAATTTTAATGTATTTGAAGCTGGTATTAAACTTAAACTAAATTTCTTTTTTATTGGCATTAAAATCTTTCTTTCATTTTAAGATGTAATTGTTACGTGATTATATTCAGTTTTAATTTTTAAATCTGTTTATTTTTAATCTTTTAATGATTATTAAATTTAATGTTTTTCAAATAATTAGTTGTTATACAATAATATACAAAAATACCATATTTTTTCTACTAATAATAAAGCTTATGGTAATATTAATAAGCAATAGATTAAACTATCAAAAAAATAATCAGTTTAAGTTAGAGATGAGTATATTATATTAGGAATAAAACATATAGAAAATAATACACCACTTAAACATACTATTTAAGTGTGAAAATCTCTTAACCAACTTTATGATTAAAAACTTTACTTATTAAGATTTGTTTATACATAACGGCAATCATCACCAACTCTTATAGCCATTCCAAAAATCCAATCTGCTCTATCCATTATTTCTCCTCTCATTATCATATTCTTTTTATTAAAAGAAGTTGCTTTAGGATCATTTTTCAACTTTATACTTCCAGTAATATTTTCTTATACAGTAAAAGAGATTGAACCATTTAATTTTGTAATGAAATCCATAATATTACCTTTAGAATTATGATTTACATTCACAAATGTACATGGACATGGAACACGTAATTCAAAATCAGAAAGCACTTATTCCTAACTTGAATCAAGAATTAAAAGATCAGCTGGACTTTATTTTCCATGTTTTAAACATACTATTTATCCAACTTATAATTAAGACCAATTTATTGTGAGATAAGACTTAAATCTATTTAGTTAACATAATATACTCAATATAATCTTAATTATTATCTTCCATCTTTTAGATTTCTTCATCTGAAATATTAGGAAATTTTTAAAAAATGCGGCATTTATTGTTGTTAATACTAGATTGTTATTTCCATCTTTAATAACTGATTATCAAAAGATTAATTAAATATTGCAATTTATCTAATAAATAACAAATTAATGTGAATAAAACTATGATTTGTCCTGTTGAATCTTATACATATGTATTTCCTGATAGTGCTATAATCAAAATAATCAAAATAATTAGATTTTCTGTTCTCAGAATTTTATCAACTAATTTCATTATAATAAGATTAACCTAAAAGAAATACAAAATATCTTTACGCTAATAAGATTTATTTAATTATTCTATATCTCAAAATTTACAAGCTTTTAGACTTCACCATTCGAAAATTCAATCTACTTTAAATTATTTAGAATACTTTAAAAATCTATTCATTTTCTTGTTGTTAAAACAATGTTTTCTAAAGAGTCTTCTATAATTTTTTAGGTAACCATAAATAGCAGTAAGAGATAAGGCGATAAATTATCTTCATATAATATAATTATTTTTATATTAAACAATATGTAATAAAATTAAGAAGGTGATAAAGCATTAAAGGAACAATATTTATAGGATTAAGTTGAGAAAGGTTTAGATGCTGATTAATGTGCATAATTTCTTGTCTCTTTAAAACCTGAAGGTGGTGATGATATTGATAATTGGACCTTAGATGAATTGAGTAAATTCTATATATAAAATTATTAGAGTTAGCTATTGAATAATTTAAGGAATCTTAAAAATAAGTGGAAGAATAATAAACAAATAATACAGAAGATTAAGGAAATCTTTAATAAGCATAACCATAAGAATAACCATAGCAAAATTAATAAATAATTTAATAAAGTAATGCTCCTGTACTTGTTAATTGTTATTAAATTTTACCTAATGAATTATCTGGTGATAATGTGTCAGTTAAGATATTGACGTAAATTTATATTATATTTATAGATATAAAAAAGAAAGTGCTGGATTCTTTTCTTCTTCATACATAGTATTTTAGATTGAAACATAACCTCATGGTTGGATTGTATTTAGAAGATATTCAGATTTTGAATGGTTAAGAGATTCATTATAAAAATTTTATCCAGCTTTTGTTGTTCCACCTATTCATAAAAAGAGATCAAGATCTTTTGAAGATGTCTATCTTAATAAAAGGATGATATTTTTGTAAAGGTTTCTAAATAGTATATTTAAATCTTATGAATTAAAAAGTAATGTTATTGTTAAGAACTTTTTGAGTCTAACATAAAATAATGAATTCAAAAAATTCCAAGAAGTATAAATATTTTTATCTTTAAGAGTATTACTAAATCTGCACCTCCATAAACAGTATAAAGAATGTTCTCAAAAGATGGTCAAGTTAATTGTGTTGCTCCTATTGAAATATATTAATATGCCCATTAAACTTAGGATTACTTCTATGAAATAGATGGAGTCTATAAAAAAATTAGAGTTTTAAGTAAAAGTCTTAAAGAAATATAATTATAAAACTCATTAAAAATATATTGTGTAGGAGAAATATTTGCATCTTTATTCTAGCATTTAAATAAATTAAATTAAATACTCCCTACAGGATAAGCATAAGGTTTAGCTGCTACTTTCTTAAATTTAAATAATACTATGATTACATGGGGCAATATTATTGGAAAATAAATAGAATAAACAGAAGAGTATTTAAATAGTTTCTTTAAATATTAACAGCACTATAATTCATCTATTAAATAAATATATGAAACTAGAGCAGTTATATAGTAAGATTTAGAAAAATTCAAATCAAAATTACATTATAAGAAGGAACGATTATTTTAATTAGGAGATATTTCTAAATGGGATCTAAGCAAAGATATAAAATTAAATCCATAAGAATTATTATAAAATAAAAAGCTTGCATTTCAAAATATGTGTGATTAAGAAACTAAATAAGAAATGGGAATGGAAATGTTAGTAGGATATTACACAAACTAAATATTTACATAAACTTAATAATTTTTCAAATAGCAATAATAAGAATTAGTGGGACATTTTATTAAATTCTGTCAAGTATAAGCTTTCAATATCACGGATGTAATATTTTATTTAAATTCAAGCATCATTAATTATGGGCTGATGCAATTACCAATCTATAAAATAATTTATTAATACAATAGCGGTAGACATAATAAGTAGTTGTAGAAAGTATTGGCTGATAAATTTAAAAATTTATAAATATTATAACATTCATTCATCTATTTCAATTAATCAAAAATTAACTTATATTCCTTTTAATAAATTATTACACTCTCCAAATTTTTATTAAAATATTTTTATATATATTAAATTAAAAAACAAATTATAAATTCATCTAGAGATATTCCACAATTGATATATTAAAAGTAGTATATATTTAATCGATCATAATGAACATACCTATCAATATCATAATAAATTCATCTTTATCTTAATTATTCAATAATAGTAATAATTGATCTACTTTAATAGTATTTTTGATTTAATTTATTGTTTTAGAACATTTCAACATTACAAAAGTTACCAATTAATTCTACAGAGAATATTCCTATATTCCAAAGAAAGAATATAGATAAATTTGGGCAATAATAATTTCCTTATGTTAAGCAAAATCAATACTAATTTAAATTAATTTCAATCTTATTTCTAATAAAATAAATCTATTTTATTCTTTTCAAGAGTTAAGCATTCATTTTTTATAAATTTTAACTTTTTCATTCTAAAAATCAATTTTTCTAATTTAAAATTATTCTTAAACGTAAAAATTTATATAGTTCAAATTATGTGATCTGAATTTCTTTATTTCAATAGTATTATTATCTTTCTCATTTAAATCTTAATTTAATATATTGATTCCATACTTATTCTTTAATACCATATATGCTTCTTTTTCAAATATCCTATTATATTATAAAAATAAATTAATGTAAGAGATCTATATAGGAGTTGATAATCCCAATTATCTAAAGTTTGATGATGGAGAAGTCTTAGGTTCTTATCCTTTTCCTCACATAATCTCAAAAATTGATGTTGAGTTCAACCAATCCCATGTTATAGGCATCAATGTTACATATAAAGTTGGAAATGGATAATTTGTATTTATTATAATTTATAAAGGTTTCTGGATAATCTAGTCTCAAGTTCAAGAGTACTCCTGCCTATGTTAAGACATTTATAATCCCAGAGGGTAGATAATTGTTTTTAAAATAGGTGATTTTTTATATGAAATAAATGGGTGTTTTGAAAATGTCATCAATTCCATAGGATTTGTAACTTATAAAGGATATAAGGAAACATTCGGAAATCCTATTGGGGTCTCATTTAGACACTTTTCCCCATAAAATACATTTACAGCTGCAAAAGGATCTTTCGATAAATGGCTAAATTTTATAGCATTTAGAGTTGTGCCTCTTCCACCTTATGCAATGCAATAATTTGTAAATATAATTTAAACTACTCTATAGTATCCAGGAAATAATCAAATGATGAATTAAGTTCCTCCTTAATAGCCACTACAACAATAACCACCCCCATAATATCCTTATCCTACTAATAGTTATCCTCAATAGCAACAATATCAATCTCCACTTCCTCCTGTTTAATAAGGATATACACCTCCTCCTCCTCCTGTTTAATAAGGATATGTGCCTCCTCCTCCTCCTGTTTAATAAGGATATGTTCCACCTCCTCCTCCTGCATAATAACCATATACTCCTTATCCTCCAACCTATAATCCCTAATATCCAGGATTTCCAGGCTAATAACCATATCCATATGTATCAATTTCTGAGTTATTTTTAGCCAAATTATTAACCCTACCCATAATAAACCTCTACTACTATAGTTGAAGTAATAGATACAAATCCATATGGAGGTGGTTATAACTAAGGCTATAATAATTATTATAATTAAAGATAAGGAATGGGAGTTGGAGCAGCAATGGGTCTAGGAATGTTAACAGGAATGGCAGTATCAGATTTGACTCATCATCATCATCATGGAGGAATTTATGATGTTAATGTATATGGTATATATAATTTCTTATCAAAGGAGGTCATCACCATCATCATAGACATTGATTTTATGATTATTATTAAGATGGAAATTAAAATTTAATAAAAATATTTTAAAGCTTATTATATAATATCAATAAAAATATAGTCTAATAGAATGCTAAACAACATTTTAGTAATAAAAATACAGGTTGTTCTTATATATTGTTTTTTGATTATAATTTCAAATATCTTGCTTTTTTTTGAATATTTAACATTTAAAATGTATTTGAATTGATGATAAATAACATGATTTTAGATTAATATTTCAAAAATAGATTATACATATTATTAATATTGTATAAATATTAGAAAATGTCTAAAGGGTTCAATCTTAATTTAAAAAATTCTAATGTGATGACTTTTGAATAAGAAAATGATTTATTTGCTGGACAAAGCATAAAAGTAAAGCATTTCTATTATATAGCTAAATTTTAAATTGGGAGATAAATAATTTGATTTAGAGGTAAAGATTATTTTCTCATAACAAGTTAGTTTAAAGTTGGATAAGATGTTGAATGGGCTAAAAAATGTGTTGCAGAAAAATTAGATTGCGGAAGAAATGAATTTGTAAAATAATTTAAATATATGTAAATAGGACTTGATTTATGAAGAAAAGGTAATGCCAGAATTTTTTTCTTTAAATGATATTCCTAATTTAAAGGATCAATCATCAGTTTAAATAAGAATGAAGATGTGATTCTATAAATATAATGTATATATAAATAAATGAAATTGTTTAATTCATTTCTTTTTATAATAGCTTTGAATCAGTTTTAAATTTATTTAATCATATTATTGATAAACATAAATCTATAAATACTTAATTAATCATAATAATATTATATATTCAAATATTAATACTAATTCGATTCAATAATTTTATGTTTCTAATTAAAATAGTAAATATGAGATGATTATAATGTTTATACTTTTATAAACTCAAATAAATTATATTAATTACTAAACTATGTAATAATATTACTTATTAATCAAACTAATATTATTTAATATATCAATACTGCTTTAATATTTAATTCATTAGTTACTTGATTGATCATTATTTTCACATCTTAATTAATTGTCTCTAAAGAAAATATTAAATATTTATATCAATATTTATTCTTATTCCAATTAATATAATTGCTCTTATCCTATTATTCTTAATCAACTATAATTCCAGTTAATTTTATTAAAAAATATCATGAAATAATCCCTTAATGTAATTGTCTCAAAATATTGTTTTCTATTTACTATCTTATTCTCTTAAATATTATTTCCAAATAACTCCAATATTTAAGTAATTTAAGTTTAATACAATTTTAAATATTAATCAGTTGCATAGATTTAGGTGGAATCAATTTACTCAAAAAACATCAAAAACATAATTAATATATAAATATTATTATATAAATGCTTGAATTATAAGTCAAGTTTTATCATTTATATTTGAACAATTATGATTTCATACTATGATATTTTAAAATTGGCTTTTCAACTGGAAAAACATTATATTATGGACTAATTGGATTATATCCGTCAAAAGGTTAAGCTTCAGAAACAATAGTTTTTGCTTTTGGTTCTTCACTTAAATAAAACCGTCCATATTTCTATGAAGAGGGTAAATAATCATCTAATTTATTATCACTTAAATTCATTGGATCTGATCTTAAAAGATATCTTTGGCTATATTTTCCATATCTATTGATGTGAGCTAAATTAAAAAATACTATACCCTAAGTTGGAATAGGTTTAATAGGTTTAAAATCAGTAACTTACTAAAATTGAAATAAAGATTTACTTTATGATGATAAATTTTGGGTAAAACTAAACTTTAGGACTCTTTTATAAGTTATTAATCAATTTCTTAATCTTTACATACTTCTACATCTGCATTCTTCCATGTCATATCAATTTAAACTTTATGATTTTAGTGCTCTCAATTTATATAAATTATATACCTTAATTCAATTTCTTTTGATAATTTCCTTCTCCATCATACATAATAAATTTTGCCATAGGTCTTGACTTATGTCAATAATTATATATACCCCAAGAATTTTTGTTTTAAGTTCTTTAAATGTTCCATCTTACTTTTACTTATTTATTTCAAATTATTCAATGCATTTTCCACAACTTTTATGTTTATCCAATTTATCCATTATTATTAAATAAATATATATATATATGTATATAACATCAAAGAAACATATAAGAAAAAATTCAAATTATCAAAATGAATATAAAACAATATTAGACATTATTTATTCTTAAAAATCTGTATGATATATATTAAATAATTATGTTCATTCAATAAATTATAGAAATAATAATAAATAATTATTTATATTTATTTTCAATATATATCAATATTATATTCAAGAATCTGCTTTAATATGGAAATTTTTATTTTTATCAACTTTTTCTTAATTATCTAAATATTTATTCGAACTCTTTTTATATGTTTAAAATGTTTTTGGATCTAAACTATTATTTTTTTTTTTATTTGCTGCATTACAAGTTACTATACCATTTTGATCATCAAAAATTGGACTTAAATTAATATTAATTCTTACGTTATGTTTGATGAGTTTATTTATGTTGAGAGAATTGTAACAGAAAATCTTTTATTAGGTTTAAACCTATTTTGAGAATACTAAAGTTTTATATCATTTTATAAGTTAAAATTTTCCTATGTTATTGATCTTTTATCATTTATACAATTTTTTAATTCCATCATACTTTCTTATCTTTTATTTAATAAACCCATTTTCTTATAATGTTTTCTAATTATTTGGTCGAGATCTTGAAATCTTGGATTTTTTTATGAGTCTTATTCATTTTATGAACTACTTGGAATCTATTAGAATTTTTTATCTTCTTCATATTATATTGATGAACATAGAGTTCTTCTTGATGTAATTGGTTTATCAGAATATCCCAGAATCTCTTCATTTTCATCAATTTTATCATATTTATCAAAATTTTTGAAACTCTATTTTTAAATACTCTCTTATTATTATTTCTTAATCTCCATCAATTAAAGTTTTTCAATAATTTTAGAGTATTTATTTGATTTTTGTTTTATTTTTTATAATTCTTCTCTCTTTATTAAAATTGTATTAATACCTGCATATATTAATTTGAATTCTCTTAATTATTTGATAATTCTTGATTCTTTTCTTTAATTTGAAGTTTAATATTTTCAATTAAAGGAATCATAGATTATTAAATCTTTTTACATGTTTAAGAATAATTGAATCTTTATAATAAAGTTATTAATACTTACAATTTAAGGCCTCATCTAACTCAAATTAATAAGAACATCTATTCATCTCTTGATCAATTTTATTTTAAACTTCTTTAGACTTTGAAAGAGATAATAAAACTCTACTGAATTTTTTGCCTTTTTAAGTTGTATTTAAAATTTTAATAGGACCATCCACAATTTATTTTTATGCTATTAAACGTCTTTGTAATTGCTCTAATTTAGGTTTGAATTAGTTAGTCAACTTAAGGAAATCTTAAGTATACTATTTTCTTCTTTAAGTGTAGAATTCAATATTTTCGCTAGTTAATAACATAAAATATTTTAATATTAAAATTAATCAAAGCACTTTTAATACACCTATTCATTATGTTTTTTAGTATTTAACAAATTATTTACATAAGACCTCCAATTAGAAATTACACTAAATAAAAATTTGAAGTAATAAATAAATAAGAAAGGAATATTAAAATCAACAGATAATCATAGAAATAATAATATAACAATTATTGATAATAGTTACTGTAAAAATGGAACTATATTCAATGAAGATATTAAAATTATATAATTTCTATCTAATTAGGATTTGAATTTATTTGAAACTGAAGAAGAATTATTAGAATAGAAGAAAAAGAGAATATAGAGTTAGATTTTATAGAAAGAATAATATATATATATATTCAAGTAGAATAAGATAACAAAAGTAGAATAGGAATGAATATAATGGCTTAAAGTATTCATTTATGAAGATACAAAAATGATGTTTTTTTCATTTCAATACTAAATAAATCAAACATCTATTAAGAGAATAATAATAATTTTCATAAGAAACTTATGAATTTACTTAATAAATAAATAAAACATAAAACTATTTTTATACTTATATTTTGATTTAATTTGTTCAATATAATAACACTAGTTAATATTAAAATATTATATCAATATCTCATGAATAATAAATAATATTTATAATAACTAGAGAAATCGATCTTATTTGTTCATAGAATAATAGTAAATGTTTTGTTTATTTTTATATTTTTTTAATGAGAAATAAAGTTATACAATAAGAAAGGAGTTTATTATACAAAAAAGCATATGACATTATCTAATTTCAATTAAAATAAGTTTACAAAAAAGATTAGAATAATATTATAATATAATATGATAATGTTAAAAACTATTAGAAATATTAATTAGAATTATTAGAAAATAATGAAAGAATTAAATAACCCATAAAATGATTATAAAATTAATTTTATGTATATAAATATTTCAATTCTACAAAATGCTAAGGGAGTTGGGTACCAGTTCACCTTAAGGCACACATATTACGAAATTGCACAAGCAATTATTCACAATGCCTGAGTAAGTTCTGAGATGCCGTTATTTCGAAAGATTATGAGACTTCCTCCAGAAATCTATTTCACTCTGACTTAGAGAAGAGGATTGTTTCAATCTGATCGTTAGAGTGAAAGTGAGAAGGGGGTTTGGCATAGCATATTAAGTGCAATAGGTGATATCCAATTCAATTCAGGCTACTCGGTACCTAATTCTCCCACATACTTTTTATAGTTTATTAATTTTTAATAGTTTTTTAAAAATAATTAATTAAGAAAAGCCAAATATAATATATATTTTCAACCTGTTGATTTTGAGACATTTCGAAACATAAATTTTGAATCTGTGGATTAAGAATTTAAATTTTCTTGATTCTAACTTATTTTTTGTCCATTTTTATGATATTCTAAAAAAACAGGAATTTGATTAATAGGAGGTAATTCATTATTGAAATAATCTACTACAATTTCATCATCACTTTGTTGCTGTTTAGTATTTGATTTTTAAGAGAGAAAGCTAGCCCTATTATTAGAAAATGTAAGTGGAATATTACGAGTACTGATTCTGAAATTTTCTCTAAAAAAAGAATGTTACAAAGCAGATGTAGCTTTGATTCTTAATCTAGGATCTTCTTGTAACATTTCTGATAATAAATTTTAAGCAGTTATAGGGATATGGATTAATGATAAATTTTAAAGATTAATTTGGCATCTTCTATTAGCTGATAATATTTCATTTTGAGTTTCCCCTTAAAATAAATCTTTTCTCAATAACCTTATAAATTTGAAAATAAATTTACAATTTATAGAATACACATCCTATAGAAAAAATATCGCTCTCTAATCCATATTTTCCATTTTTTAAATTAATTATCTCAGGAGCCACATAACCTGGAGTTCCACATTTCTTAAGTTCTTTTTTGGGTTCAAGTTTTACAGAGAGACCAAAATCTACAATTTTTAGATCTATTTTTTTTTCTTGAATATTTAATATAATATTCTCAGGTTTTATGTCTCTATGCATGATATTTAGAGAATGCAAATAAGCAATACCCTAAAGTAATTCCCATAGAATATTCTAAATAATTCTTACATTTAATTAATGTTTTAATTCTTTAATGTATGAATTTAAACTTTGCCCCCTACAATATTCTAAAACTATATAATAAGTGCCATCTCCAACATAGAACTCTTCAAAACGAGGCAGATTAGGATGATTTAACTGTTTAAGGATATTTAATTCATCGAAAATTCCATTCTAATTAAATAAGACTTCTGCTGTACCATTTTTTCAACCGAGTTCTAAATTGCTTCTTTAGTAATACATTTTGTGACAAAATTATCATTTTTATCACTCTTTCTCACAACTTGATAAACTTGACTGTTGCTACCACTAGCCAAATGTTCTGTGGCTTCATAAAAGTCTTATACTTTAGTGAATGAAACAAATTTGGAAAGAATCTTCTTTAAAATGAGTAAGTCACTTTGTTTAGCATGAAACCATTTAAATTTTTTGGGTGATGTCCAAAAGCCAAAAGCATTTTCTTTAGATGTCAGTTGCCATGTAATTTAGGAGGACCAATTTAAAGGGAGGATGTACTTAGGAGTATCAGGTCTCTTGGGCTATAGAGATTGTAAATAGAAATTTACATTTGTTAATGTGAGAGTATTATCAGTGAATCTAATCTCATAAATTTGATCAGCAATTAGATGCTTTCGATAACAAATGATGAGTTCAAACATTTGCATAATAAATAAATTAAAATTTCAGAATCTATAACATTCATTGAGATACGATTATACTTCTGTAAAGAAACGACTTTGGAGAGCTATATTTTACCTAATCTCTTACATTTATGTTCTTCCTCAAGTACATCTAATTCTTGATGTTATGTTATAATTTTAAGAGTCTTTTTCTTCACATTTTGCTAATTTTTTTCTTGATTATTCAACTACACAAATGCAATTAACATTTTGTCAAAACTTAGTACTTAAGGTATGTTCTCTTTAAGTATTATTGTTTTAGGTGGTTTGACTACATATTATTTTTTAGGTTCAAGTGTTCGAAGTTGCAATTCTTTCTTCTAAACAAAAAGAGATTTTTCATAAAAGGAATCTATTGATTACTCTATTCTCCGTTCCATAGGTTATGTAGAATTATATCTTCTCTTAAATTTTCTAAATATATTTCGGTTTTCTACTAAGACAGGAAAGAAAGGCTCTTTTTCAGTTAGAAGCATTATATTTATAATAAAATAATAAGAGGATATTAATATAAAGAAACTTCAATAAACATATTTGATATTGAGTACAATGACATCAAATATTCTTTCATCAATGTCAGTAATGAAGATGTGTACTAGTTCTTCACTACCTGGTAAGACTCTGATTTTAAACTGAACAATTTCATTAGGTCCTGTAGAGATACTATGATCAATTATCTATATTAGACATAATGATAAATGAATACTTTGACAAATTCACTTGAAGATACAATATTATATTATGTAGTGTAATTAACTTAATTTTTGTAATTGACTTGATGACGAGATTCTCTTCCATCTATACATCTAAAAGATTAATAAATAAAAACCTCAAATCATAAGTCGCACTTGGAGGTTAAGGTTAAGCATGAACATTCACTAACCAAGAATAAATTAATTCTTGAGAATGAATGTCTACTCCATTCAATTTAATTATATGTTTTCCAATTTAAAGAGCCAAAATATTAATGGGAACTAAATTTATTTTACCTGGTAACATTGTAATTTCAGAATCAAAAGGTTTAACAAATGATACCATTTTATTAGATGATGTCATTTTAATAATACGAGTAATATCACAAGGAAATGTTATTTTAGTACACACTCTTTAACCTAATGGAACTTCAATATCTATTGTAGATAAACTATAAACTTCTATCTTCCAATTAGCTATTATTTTATGTTGATATTAATCTTAATACAATAAAATGTTGAATATCTTAACACTTTAAGGTTCTCCTATTCTAAGATTCAATCTAATTGAATTAAAATCAGATGACCATTCTATCATTACATCAGGATCAGTAATATGTACATGAGGTTATTATTATAATGGTTAATTGAATAATCTAGGTATGACAAGTCTAGTTTAACGATTTTCTCTTTCATAAAATCTAAGTACATGATCTATTGGTTATTAATGAGGTTCTACTATTATACGTAATCCATCCATCATCTTACCATCCTATTATAATAAAATAGTTATGTGACGAGATTACATATATTTTTTAATATATTCAGGAGTTCTTTCATGATCATCTACTCTATAATCATATTATCTAAAACTTATAAATTTAAATAATAAAGTAACTTCTTAATTAGGATCTAAAATAAAATAATATTAAGTTTTTCCTTAATTTTCTTTCATTCTAATTAAATCATAATTTTCAGGTTCTGGATATTTATTATTAGTAACCCAATATTTCCATTCAGCTGGATTGCCAATCAAGAAGAATTCTTAATATTCTAACATTCTGCTTTCTGGATCCTCTATATTTACAGTGAATTATTCTGGTTTTGGGTGAGTATTTTTAAAATAAAGAGGTACAATTTCACATTTTCCATAAAATGAATGAACTACTTTCTCATTTTATAAGAATCCTTACATTATAGTTCTTACTAATGATGGTTTTTTTATTTCTTTATATTTTAATACTTCATTTAATGATCTTTATTAACTTTATTTATTTTTAATCATTTCTTATAAATTTGATTATTTAATCTTTTTTATTCTGTCCTATATACTATTTCCATCAAAAGCTTATGCAGGAACATCCATTCTATTTACTGGTTTTTCAGATACTAATTTCTTTTTCTGAAATCCATTTTATGTATTTTCCAATTGAACTGTTTTACTCATATCTTATTAACCAATCTTGCCAATATTTTTAATAACAATCTATAAAGTTCCTTTAACTTTCTTTGATTAAGGATCAAAAATTTCAACATCAGCCATTATTTATGCATTCTGTTTACCTCCTCTCATTATACCTCTTAATGGTATTCTAATACTACCAAATAGAAATAGACTCTCACTATCCCAAATATCTAAAATTAAATTTTTATTAAATAAATATCTTGCAAAATCTTATTCTAAATTTGCATATCTTTATAATGAAGTTTCAATATTAAATTTACAACTGAAAACCTCATTATTATACAATAACCTAAGAGGATTACCATTCTCTAAATTGTATTTAAAATTTCTTTCATCATTATAATACTCTAAATTTAAAAATGGCGATTTAAATGTTTATAAATCATAGAATATAATTCCTATTTAAATTGATTTACAAATAGGATATGGTCCTAAAATTTATTTCATTGACACTGGCTATATCACAATTATTTAATCTTTCCTTTCATCTTACATTTCAAGTGCCATCAATCTATTTTCTTAATCTATTGATATTGGATCATCAACTAAAGCTGTAACATCTGTACGAGTTATTGGTTTCAAATTAGCTGAAGGTACAGGATATGCATAAGAATCTATAGGTTTAATAACTGTATTTTATGGTTTTGCCTCAGCCAAAACAACTGGGGGAGCAGCAGTTCTATCAACTGTTTTTTAATCTTTAATTAATTTCTCTAACCCTTCAAATTATCTAGCTTAAGTAAATTATAATAATCTATTTTCTTCTCTTAATTTTTCAATTGCTTATAAATATTCTTATTATTTTTAAGGGTCTGCTGTTTATTAAATTGCCAATCTTCTCAATCGTTCATTTTCCTCTTATAATCTCAATAACTGTTATTCAAAATCTTTCAATTTTACCTATGTTCTTATATCTATATCTGATCCTCTTACCTATTATTCTTACTTATTTTAAAACTATTATTAAAGTGATTAATTTTAATTCTAATTAGATTATTATTACAATCCTTATTATAAAGGACCTTATTAGAATCCTTACTATTAAGGAACTTATTATTATTAAGCTGCACCCATATATAAATCTTAGATTTAAAATCCACCACCTGAAAGATTAAGACTCCCTTTCAATTTAATAGATGAATCAGGATTCTAAAATGATACTAATGGTCTTCCATCTAATGTTTTTCCTGGTCCAATAATAAAATCTTCTTCCAAAACTTCATCAGCACCAAATTTATTATTAATGTATATTGGAATCCATCCAAGTGTTAATTACATAGTCTCTTTAGTTAAATTTGATACTAAGAACATAGCTTCATATTCTAATTAAGCTACAAGCATGCCTGAATTAACAGTTGGATCAGTTGAACAAACATTGTTTATATCAATTACACCATGATATACTAATTATTTGTATTGAATTTATTTCTAATCAACAAATTCATTAACTAACATTCTTGTTTCTCCAAGAGGTACAAAATTATTTGTTCCTCTTGTATTTATAAATGTCCAACCATTATGAAATGCAACTATCAATCTTTTATTTATTATCTAAATATCACCTTTATAATCATCAGCAGTTCTGTATTTATAAGTCCTATATTTCTATACTTATCTATATATATCTGCTTCCATAGTATCTGGTATTAACACTTGTATTTTACTCATGAATACAACCATACTTCTCTATAATTCAAAATCTCCTCCAACAAAACTCTTTTTAAGTCCTGGTAATTCATCTCCCAATCCACATAATGCATTTTCTGGTGATAAATGCATACTTATTTGAAATTCTTCACTTTGCACTAGATCACATGTTACTGAGATGCCTGAAGATTCAAAATTAACTTATTAACCCAATAATAAAATTCTTGGACTTCCCTTTCTAAAATTGAGTTTAGTTGATTATGTAGTAATAGTTAATGCTTATAATTCACACCAACCTAAATGCATGCGTTTTAATACTAAATCTTATTGTGTTTCATATGATTATATTTCTAGAATAATTAAGAGTGGCATTTCTTTATTATTTAGAATTCTAGTATGATAATAGATTGGTATAATTGGATGTTCATAATTTACTCCATCAGGTCCAAATTCCACATTTAAACGAGGACTATTATATGTTCGTCCAAAAAAGCATTTTTCTCCTTGTTAGTTTTAAATAAAAAAGTTGGCAGCAACTGAGAATTGTAAATTCAACACAGGATTTTAAGGACGTCTGAGTCCACCAATTCGAGATACAATTAACTTATAAGCTTTTGAATCTAAACCCATTTGGATTGGGATTGAAGAGGGTAGACTCTTATGCATCTTTTGAAATTTTAGAAACTTCTTTATAGAGTTTATGTCTTCGGTTGACATTAATATTATTGTTTGAAAATAAAAAATATCATAGATAAAATAATATTATGATTACTTATTGATACTTAATATATTTAACTGTGACTTATGATCAATATAAGAATTGTAAATGTAATAAGTTATACAATTTATTTATTAATTAAGTTCATCTATAATACTATATATATCATTATTTAGAATCTTCATTATCCCATACAATATCCCCTTCAAATACTTCTCCTTATTCTTAATTCTCCTCTTCCATAGCTAATCTAACATATTCCTGAAATGCAAATCTATCCCAATCTGTAAAATCTGGATGATCAACTATGTCATTTCTTACTTGAAATGGATCTCTATTTTCATAAGCAATTAATTTATTTAAATTAGTTAAGAAATTGAAAAATACCCCACAAACAGTTAGATTCTATTTAAAATGACTTAATTTAAAGAGAATATCATTTTCAGGATGTAAAAGATCAACCATTTAACAAACAAAATCATGAAATAAAATAGGTTCATGATTTAAATAATCCATTCTCTATTTCAATTCCTCATAAAAATAATCCATTTCAAATCCTGTAATAATTCCATTATCATCCAAATCAATAATTTTAAACCAATATTCTATTGATTATATAGTAGTCTTATCTTCTTCACATAAAATAAAGTAAATAAAATCTTCATATGACATCTTTTAATCTATTTAACTTCTAAATCTACGAGGAACTTAATCAAATATTCTATCAACAACTTTACGACTTAGACCATGGCTGGAATAACGAGAAAAATCTTCTTTGCTGATATGGAAATCATGATCACCATCTAATTCCCAAAATTTACAATAAATAACATAGAAATGTTCATATGAGAAATATTATCTGATCTAATAAAGGAGCTTAGAAATAATACTTTATTAATATCATCTTCTTTTCCCAATATATCCAAGATATCAAATAAATTACTTGATTTAAAGTCACGCCATGTAATTTTATTGTTATCCTTTCGACATAAATGAAAGAATATTCTATGAATTACTGTTTCTGCATATCGTTCTTAAAATTCCGGTGTTGCTTACAAAAATTCCAACCCCGGATGTTATTCAAGTAAAACTATTTAGGAAAGAGAATGTACTCTTCATGAAAGGTTTGAAATCATCAAATTAAATGAAGTCATTCTTTGCTTTTTTGAGAATATGAAAACATCTCTATTTTGGTTCTTTTTAAGATAATTGCTAATTCCAATACTTAATAAAAGCAGTTTTACTAATTTTGTTGCTTGTACCTTCTACTGCAGTCATTAAAATTCTTGTTAAGTATTTGCATAGTCCACATAAATTTGTAGTTATCTGTTCAAAATGATTAGCATCTATATTTTCAGCTTTACCAAATATTTCATTAATAATTTTCTAAGGCATTATAAATATATGGACTATACATTCTATTCTTATTGTAATTATAAATTGATCTCTTATGTTGGAAAATAAAATTGGGGAACCAAATCATAATTTTATACCTCATCTACATAAAGTTTTTTCTAAATTATTTATGATTAGGTCAATGATTATGATAAATCCTCTGGAATGCGCTATTTTATTTCATGAAATGAGTCTGCACGAGGAGGAGTTGAAGGACCTTAGCTTTTTTTATTAGGTGAGCTTAAAAGAGCACTTTATGACATCCCAGACATTGTCATTTTATTTGTGAAAAAAGCATTAGGTTGAGTAATAAGATTATTTTACTTTCCTTCCCGCACATCCTTTATCAGTTAATGTACTAATTTTTATGTTTAAGGTATAGTTAGCCATTTAATGAAGAGATCATCAACTCGAGTTTTGGCCAATTAATATCTAATATTCTATGTTAGTGGAAAACCTGCTCCGACTCCTTCAGAATACGATTTCTAAAACATAAAATAATTAAAATATCTTTTTAATTCTATGTTTGCTATCACAAAGTAGGCATTGTTTAGGTAATAGGCAATGAAACTCATGAATCGATTTGCTGTAGTTGCCAATAATAAACCAGAAAAAGGACCATCTTAAGTAATATTAAAATTTATGATAAAAGGGACACTTGACAGACAAATACACAGTCATAGATCATACTTATGATGCAGTAGTTGTAGGAGCAGGTGGAGCTGGATTAAGAGCAGCTTTTGGATTAGTTGAATTAGGTTTTAAGACTGCATGCATATCTAAGCTATTTCCAACTAGATCACATACTGTTGCAGCATAAGGTGGTATTAATGCAGCTTTAGGTAATATGACAGAGGATGATTGGAGATGGTATATATGATCAAAATTTACATTAGGCATGCATATGATACTATTAAAGGATCAGATTGGTTAGGAGATTAAGATGCTATTACATACATGTGCAAAGAAGCACCTAAGGCTGTTTATGAATTAGAAAGTTATGGTTTACCATTCTCTCGTACTCCTGAAGGCAAAATATATTAAAGAGCATTTGGAGGTTAGAGTTTGAAGTTTGGAACAGGTGGATAAGCATATAGATGTTGTGCAGTGGCTGATCGTACTGGACATGCTATGTTACATACACTTTTTGGCAGAGCTTTAGGTTATGATTGCATTTTCTTTGTTGAATATTTTGCACTTGATTTAATGATGGATGAATAAGGGTAATTATTTATTATAAATTTATAGAGCTTGTAGAGGAGTTGTATGTATGTCAATGGCAGATGGATCAATCCATAGAATTAGAGCTGGATATACTGTTATTGCAACAGGAGGATATGGAAGAGCATTCTAATCATGTACATCAGCACATACATGCACTGGTGATGGTGGTGGTATGACAATTAGAGCTGGTTTACCTATGGAAGACTTAGAATTTGTGTAATTCCATCCTACTGGTATTTATGGATCTGGATGTCTTATGACTGAAGGATGTAGAGGTGAAGGAGGTATTCTTAGAAATTCTTTGGGCGAAAGATTTATGGAAAGATATGCTCCTACTGCTAAAGATTTAGCTAGTAGAGATGTTGTTTCTAGAGCTATGACTAAAGAAATTTTAGAAGGAAGAGGGTAATTAT